TGAGCTTTTCTAAAATTATATTGTTTCTATACAGAAATGCAAAGAGATAGTACAGTGAAGTATTTTTTTTTCTTCTCAAAACAGTGTTTCTGTTTTAACTAAGGTGTGTATCTTGTTTAAAATTAGTCTACTGCTTGAAGCCGCCTGCAATTTTCTATGCCTTTAGTGTGACTTGGTGAATAATGCAGGTCTTGCTCCAAACTCTGAAGTCACCAAGGGCCTGAGAAGAAAAATTCAATAATGTCATTAATTAGAAACTGAGTGAAAAATTGCAGTTTACCAGGCTTTTGAAGTGGAACCAGAATTACTTGTCTTGTGGTTACTCTTCTGATACAGGTTTCATTTTCTTCAGTTAAACCTGGCTGTATAAGTGCATTAATGATAGCATAACTATTTGGCTATATGATGACAGGTGAAGGCATTGATTTAATCACAAGCATGAATTTGACTTTTAAATCTTCTGGCATACATTCAGACTGCAAAAGAAGTGTGGCATCATGTGGAGAGAGGAACCCCAAGGTGTATTGCGAGGTCCAAAGTGTTAAATCCCAAACGTTTGCAAATACAGGAATGTAATCATGGTAAAACAAATTGCAAACACATGAAAAACACATGAAAATCCATAGCAGAGATGTCTATGTCTGTAAACAACTATGTCGTAGATACCTGTAACAGCAGCCAGGACAGAGGTGGTAGCAGCACTCTTTAATGCCTTAATTGTCTTTGGAAAGGGACCTGAAGCCCAGATACCTGGAGAGCCAAAGGAAGGAGAGGTGCCAGCCCCTTTGCCGGTATAAGTCGGCACCTCTTCCTGGGCTATGCTGTGTTGCCCCAAGTGAGGCTCTGTCCTGGAAAAGTTAAAGCTGGACTGAAGATCCTGGGCTGGTGGCTTGGTTTTTGCACTGAGGGTGAAAGGAGATTGTGGTTTGTTGTTTTTTTTAATCAGAAGTGGAAAACTTCACTGGCTGTGGGGCTACGGGTGAGATGGGGAGCCATTAGCTGTTGTCTCTGCCAGAGTGAAAAATACCAAGGCAAAAGTAATTGGGCTGGAGAGAGCATTAGATAGACCATGAGATGTAGAAACTGGATTATTTGTTTTATCTTGGTGCAGTGGTCATTCACCTGATAACATTAGTTTCTCTTAAAATATAATTAACATTTTATTCCACTAAGCATCATTTATATTAGACGTTAGTGGGACACAGCACGGTATGTTGTAAATACTGGGTTTGGTGCCTAGATGGCTAATTCAGTGCTAATGTCATTATCAAAGGTTGCAGAGGAAGAATGTCCTAAAAGGTCTATTCCTCATGAAATCATCTCCTGTAGTTATTCAGCTGTGTCTAATGATGCATCTTCTGCAGAAACTTTCATTTATTTATTTGGTATGTCCCCTTATTCTTCTTAAGAAATGTTAGAAACAGCACCAAAAAAAAAAAAGGTAGAATCAGTTTTCCGTGCATCTATCTGCTTCCTGATTAATTTTGGTCTCATGAAAGCAAAAATGTACATTAGCAATTTCACACCTTGTTACATCTTCTGTTTGCTTTCATCAACACAGGGCTGTTTTCATGAATGGTGAACATAAACATATGATGTAATATTCCTCTTTGATTCTGAGTGTCTTGCTGAGAAATTAATGCATATGTGCAGATTACTTGTAAAGCAACATGTGAACAACTCACAATCTACATCCCCCCTTTGTAGTGTCAAGGCAGGGATTTGAACAAGACTTGTGCCTACTTATGTAAGAAATATGGGAGATTACAGCTTTATATATCTTGATTCTTACATGAATTATTTTTTTACATGTTGTACTCCAAACTCTTACGCGAATTTATTTTTTTACCTGTGGTACTCCAAATGGAGGTGCTCCGTGGCTTGGCTTCTTTCTGTTAAGAGGATGCTGCCCTTGCAGAAGCAGTGACCTTTGAAAAGCAAGTCTCAAGTAAACCTTTTATTTTCCTGAGATCATATAGCACAGTATCCAGTTGCAGGCTTTTAAGATGGAATGATTGCAGACTTTGTCCGCTTGCCTGGATTGGATTACATTTTGTTTGACAAAGAAAACTCTAAAATACTTATACCTTCCTTCCTTCAGTTCAGAGCATCGTAATCTCCATGCATTGAGGATGCAGAGTAGCTGCCGTATCATCCCAGCCCGCTGGGATTTATTGAATTTACTTAATTGGCCTTTATCTCATGGTTACACTTTAACGCTTCTTTTGAAGGAGATTCAAAAAGGGTACAGTTACTCCTTTTCTAATTTACTTGGAGAGTTGGGTTACTCGTTTTCTTATCTTCCCTCCTTTTCCCGGTAGAGCAGAGCATTCTGCAGAACCACGATTGAACATGTTAGAGGCTTGCATGGTGAGAGATTTTAAGTCTATGAATCTGTTAACTAGCAAAGCTTTTTACACACTGCTTTTTAAAGAGGATGCTCTGGTTTAGGGGAGTGGGGAGTTCGATGGGGACTTCTGGATGGCTGGTGGTGCGTTTTGTGTTGTACTGTGCTGATGCACGTGAACAAGAGCTAAACTCCCCTGAATCTCCCAGGGAAGGGTTTTGCAGCAGAGTTCAGGAGCACTTGCATCATTCTCTTGTTTTTAAAGCACTTGTGAGCCTCAGTCCTATAAACCCTTCAGGAAACCTGGATGAAGTGGATGAAAAGTCTGTTATTTGGTCAGGTGAACTTGACACTGAGAATTGCATGGTTTTCACCTTCAATACTAGGGAGGGTTGATGTGTCCCCTTGCTTCACTTCTCAAGTTTACTTTTGTTAATAGGAGTTTGAAAAGGTTTAATGCTCAGCTCTGACTTTCTCCACCTTGCCAGACCTCTGCTGCCAGCTCTGCAAGCCTGGGATAGGTGTTGCAGGGATTTGGGGGCATTGGAGAACAGTCCCAGAAGGGCACGGGTCACTTTTTCTGAGTGCCATGGCGTCTCCATCCCCTATATATAACATCCCCATGGCTCATGATAAAAAGGGATCAGTATTTTCTATTTAACTAGGGTTGTAGAATTGCCTGTTACTTGGCACCACCACCCCAGTGAGGCTTGTTTTCCGATACCTCTGAAAACCACGTAGCTCCTTGTGCATTAGAAGGAAAGTCCATCCTATTTTAATAGAGTTCACTACTCACCATTTCTTCTCTGAGCTAACGCATCTGACCATGCACGTGTGCATGGAACATATATCTCACACACACAACTCAATTTGCTGTGCACATGCATGCACAACACATATTTAGGCACCTGGATTAGTTAATGGAAAGTCCTATACCAGATGAGCAGTTTGAGTCTAAGTTGTTATTTGCCTTCACATAGGCCAAAAAATTGTGGAGGACATCAGCTGAAGGTAAGGTGACTTTTGAGGATGAAAAATTGTTGGTGATCACCGTGTGGTGCCTACATAAATAGCACGATCATCATTCAAATCAAGGTGGTTTTTCCTTGCTCACTGGAGCAGTTGCGAGCACGGTGGTGGATGCACAGCTAAAAACCGAGCATTGTCTGTGCAGCTTGATGCCAGCACTCCAGCAGAAAACAATATGGAAATGGCCAACACCTTTCAGGATCCTCCTAGAGACAAGCGGGGGAGAGATTAGCCAACAGGAGTGAGAAAAACTGGGGTTGAAAAGAGACTGAGACGCAGGAGCTTGCTTTAAAAGAGAAAGCTAGCTGCTAGCCTTCAGTCCAGGGATAATTGTCTGGAGCTCTTCCCTTACTCTTTTCAGCTGAAGGTCAGACCTGGCAAAATTAATTTATCTGTTGTCTTTATTTTACTTAATGGGTTGGGGTTTTTTAGTATTATGATAATTAGCTAGTCCTGCATATAGGAGAAGTCTCTTTTTTGGAAGATAAAAGTCTGGTCTTTAGTCTTTGCTACCGCTCTTTGCACTCAGTTCCTCATATGGCCACAAAGGTCTTTGCCGTGGCTATCCCCAGCCCCCTTGTAATCCTTGCCGAGAGCTGGCCTGTCCGGAGGGTGAGTCGAAGGCCCTCAGCCAGGCATGGGCTGATTTTTCCTCTGGAGAAGCTGCTCTTGGCCCTGTACATTAGAGACTATGAATTTCTCCTGTCCCCTTTTCACTCAGTGTTGTTTCCTAATCTCTGGCATGAAATACCTGGGGTGTTAGGGTTGCATTGCCCATAGCAACTTTTGCTAGGGAGCTGCCAGGGGTGGTAACAACCGTAACTTGAAAAGTCTCTGCAGATATCGGACTGAAAACAAAGGATCAAGCCTGTTTCTGATGCACGTGTGCTGCAAAGGGCAGATAACCTTTCAGGGCTGCATCTTAAAATAATAAGCAGAGCTGGTGTTGCTGCTTTCCTTCTGCGGCTTCCCCAAGCACACAGTGAACTTCTGAGCTGTGATCGCTGTTAAAATCTCTACAGTTGCCATTTGCAAGATACTAGCATCACTATGTGAGCCATAACACCCCAGTGATATTTATGGAGAGCAATTGAATTACAAAGGTTGTAATGGCCTTGCTACCCTGTTCCTTGGTTCTGGAAGGAGGGGGCTGAATGTTGTCTAGGGTTTAGCTACTACTCAAGCCAAAAAATAAATAGTTAAGGAGCCTACTTAGATTGAGGTCTTCTGTAAAATACATGCCTTCAAAGCAGCTGATAAAAGCAATATGTAATCCATATGTAACTCTGTTGTGACAACATAGCCCCCTGACACATTTGAAAAGGCAAGTTATGCAGTTATGTGTTTGAAAAGCACTTGAAAAGGCAAGATTGATGTGTAAGCTGCTGGTGGTTCATGTTATTACTTTTTTGGGTGGGCGATGCTGGTCAAGATCCTCAGCTGCTGAAAATCTGCGTGAATCCAGTTGTTAAAAATGGACAAATACCACAGAGGTGAAAACTGATCTGCAGTAGCTAAGGATCGCCTTCCGTTGGAGGATGCGGTGACGAGTTTGACTTCAGCAGGGGCAGACCGTCGTACTAACCATGGTTTCTGTCTGTTCTGTTTTTTTCCTGTCTTGCAGCACCTTCTCCAGTCAGTAGTGTGAAAAAAGGGAAGATAACTAAAAATAGCATCTCCCTTTCCTGGCAGGAGCCAGATCGACCCAACGGCATCATCCTGGAATACGAAATCAAATATTTTGAAAAGGTGTGACGGACTGATTGCTGAGCATCCCAAGTACCTTCTCTTTACTGTCCTCTTCTTTTAGTTATCATTATTTGAGTCATGGAAGGGAATGGAGTGATTTTATGCATAAATCAATGTCAGATTGATTTTGCAGTAAATGATTAGGAAGACTTGAAATGAGGGTGGTGTTTTCCATTAGTGTGCCACTTCTCTTGAACAAATACATTAAATCTGCATGTCAGATTCCTCTCTGGACTTATCACATTAAGATAGAGCCTGCTCATTTGTTAAATATAGGAGGGGTTGTAGACTAAGCATCTGTCTCCTCCCGGAAACATCAGGCTATCCCTTGCCTGTGGTATTTCAGTTTCTCACTTGGTTTTGCATCCATGGTGTAAGGAGAAAGGTTTTGCAGAGAGATTGTATCTGCTCTGACATGATTAAGGGCACCCTGGCTTAATAGCTTGCCTGGGTTTTCCAGCCCTTGCTCTCGGTCTAATGGAAAACACTCTCTCTTCCTACAGAGCTTGCCTCTCCTAGTCTCCATTTCAAATGGAAACTTGTTCTCTTCCTGCAAAATTAATGCAGTTTAAATGAAAATGGTAACAAATGCTGTTTGTCTAAGTAGCATCTTTTGAGCAATGCAGCTGAGCGTAGATTTCCAAAAATCAAGTTTTCAAGAGTTGACTGAACAGCAGTTTCTTGCCTTAGCTGGGATTGTAAAGTGTTCTTTCTTCTCCTGAAACATCCAAGCTTTCGACATGAAAACAAGAAGAAAATTGAGTCACAATTCACTTTTTTGGGAGGTTGAATTTCTGTTTTAAGGAATACCTTCCATTAGTCCTGTCTATGACTGAGGTGAAGCCACTCAACACAAACAAGGACTGGGTCCTTACTCCTCCCGTCGTCTTTCTCTGACCATGGGAGGGACCTGCTCAAGCAGCCCATGCAAACAGGGGGAAGAATTTCAGAAATCTGCATCAGGATGAAATCAACATTATTTTTGCAGATGAGGGAGCTTGGGCAAGGGCACAAGTTGCATGACTGGCTTAAATCGGGCTGAAGTTTTCAAAATTATTAAAGCGCAAAGCAAGAATCAGGATATGCTATTGCTGGAAATAATCCATTACTGATTCTTTTATTAACTTGTTTGAACGACTGTTGTGGCGCATTGAATCCTTAACACAGAGTGGCCTGGGAAGATTAGTCTCTAGAAGCCTTGATAATTAGCAAATAATTAAAGCAAAAAAATCCATATATTTGTTCATTCTACTTAGTTTGTTTTCAAACAAATCTGATTGTGTTGTGGGGTGTTAAAATATTGTATTTGTAGTCCAGAACTAGTCTCAAATAGCTTCAGTAAATAGTTGTTCAAGTACAGGTCCTTCATGGGGAGGTAGCTACAGCCAGTCCAAGTTTATGCTGTCTTGATTTCTTTCTTTCCCTGCTCACTGCAGGGGGGTTGGACTAGATGACCTCTAGGGGTCCCTTCCAACCCAAAACATTCTATGATTCTATGATTCTTTCAGGCTGATACCAAAGCCTATTGTTTTCCATAGGAAAGCTCAAGTGTTTAAATGTTTGCAGAAGCCAACAGTGTATTGAAAACCTAATTGGGCTGACATACAAGCAGAGATGTGGATTAATATTCACTTACTGCTTTTTAACCAGTCATTGAGTTAGATTTGGGATGTCAACCTTAATTCTTCTTGTTTGTTGCTACTGTCATTTATATTCTCTCGGTTTTCAGCCCCTTATAAGGCTAAATTTGCAGCGTTCATTTCCAAGGGAAAAGAATGATCTATATTAAATGTTTTGGAAAATTGAGTTTTTTCAGATCACATTCCTTTAAGAGAAGCCACTCCTTAACAAGGAAAAAAAAAAAGGTGCATATAGGTATATACAAGTTTCTCCAAAACAGTCCTGTGTAGCTATAGGCTTCAATGAGAAAATTTGTAATCCTACACTTGGAGATTCCCAGGGCCTTATCCAGGCATATTACTATCTCTGGAAAGTTGCCCATTAAATTAAAAAGAAAAAAGAAAAATCAGTTCAGATCCTAAGAGCTATGCCGAAATCTTGGTAGGGAATTACTAAGAACTCCTGTTTACTTCATAGTTATTTGGATCTGAGAGGATATGGTGAATAAAAAGCAGTTTCCAAGTTTGTAGTCCTTAATTTATGAGCTCTTGTCTAGATTATGTGTTACAGTAAGTAATTCTAAGAGTAATTACCAAGCGTTTGAGTGAAATTTTAATCAAAGAACCATAACTCTTTCACATTACAAACCAATGTAAATGAAGATTTATTTTAGCAAATTTTCTTCAAGTTCATTGCTTCAGAAGAACAATGCAAAATTAGGTATTTTCCTGTAGTTTTGGTTTATTATTCCCTTCCCAAGGTCTAATTTGTGGTTCTAGAAATACCAGCATAAAGTTGTACAATATATAATATGTTATTCTCTTTTAGGCCTAATTATGTTACTGGGAAATCATTTTGGTATAAATTAAAATCCTTTTCTAAGGCAATGGGACTGTTTTCCTCTTCCCCATGCCTTGGGATTGATCTTTGTAGGATGGACCTTTCCATTGCCCTGGGTGGGCCGTGTACATCCTGAGCAATGGAAAGCTGCTCCCACTGCAGGTGCTGGTTTTGTCTCCATATTGCCATTTAAGCGTGGCAATTCTCTGTTTCATACCTGCTAGAGTCATTGTTTATAAAAGAGAAAATCAGATCTCACATTTTGTACTGCAGAAAGGGCCTTCGGGGGGGCGGGGTTCGGGAAGCAATCCTCAAAGATGCATATTTCAGTCATCTCTTCTCGGTGAGCCACTATTCGTATGTTTGAACTTTGTGGTTTTTGGGGGGGGTTGGGAAAAGGACCAGGAGACAAGCTACACCATCATCAAATCCAAAGAGACAACGATTACGGCAGATGGCTTGAAACCAGGCTCAGTGTACGTCTTCCAGATCCGAGCCCGGACAGCTGCTGGCTATGGTGGCTTCAGCCGAAGATTTGAGTTTGAAACCAGCCCAGTGTGTAAGTCCTTTTAATTACTGTCAGACGCGTCTCTGGAACAGTTACCAGAAACAAGTCAAGGGATCTATACCTTTGCAGAGAGCTCTTCCTTGTCCTGGCCTCATCCCTAGACTTTGGAAACATCAGGCACATCATGCACTAGACAGGCTAACACATCTGTCCTTGCTTCCTCGGCTCAATTGGCGGGGCGGGAGGTGAAGTCAGGAGGTCTTCAGGCTCCAGAAATTCATAGTGCTCCCTGCTTAGAAAAAAACTGTATTTATGAGAGCTGATGAAAGAGAGGACAAGGACTCTTCTCTCAGGAGGGACAGAGGGGATGAGACCTGTTCCTCCACACCTCTTAATGGCTGCAGAGGATGCTGAGCTCTCTTAAATATCTGCACCTGGGGAAAAAATCCTGAAATGGTGCCTCTCTGCAAGGGGAAGAATTGAACCAGCATTAGCGTCTTTTGGTGTAAGTTCCTGTCAAGCTGAAAGATGGCTTCTGGTGGCTGCCAATGCCACAGCCTCAAGGAAAGGAATTTGACTTGTGATCAGAAATGGGAAAAATGTGCAGTGCAGGAGCAGGACTTTTGCTTGGCCTGTTGAAAATGTGTGTGGGGTTGAATTTTTTTCTTTTTTTTAATGAATCCGATCATCCAGGTCTGGATTCCAGAGCAGATTCTGTGGCAGGGTGAACTCCTGAGGCACGCAGAGGCTCAGCTGCTCTTTCCCCTGTGTTTAGGCACAGCTGTGGGGAAATACTTTTTGTCCCAATTACCAAATTTTTGCAGAGGTGTCAAAGATAATTTTCTCCCTCAGAAAATATGTCCTATCTATTTCAGTTTGTACAACTGTCATTTATTAATTTTTTTATACTGTTTGCATGGAAGAGGAATTTTGTGGTGGAAACACTCTGTTCATTCGTGTGGGAAAGAGCCAATTTTCTGTATGTTTTCCTTGGAAATTTAAATTCGTCAATACTTTTATTAGTGTTACTCCAGTTCACTTAAAATTCATCATCTTTGAAAAGAAGATGCCAAGTTGTCTTTTCAATGCATGCTACCTTTGCAACTGTAATAGATTTTAAAGGAATCATTATACATGTGCAGATGTAGCTGTGGAGCCAGTGATTGAACTAATACAGTGCAAATTGCATCACGATGCAAACATTAATGCAATAAGAATGGTCTATTTAATGTATTTCTTATTGTATTAACCATTAATCGGGCCCTATAAGTAGCAACAAAATCATGTTAAGCTGAAAATTATTCTGTATTATACTGAGGAAATTTTGCTTGCAGTTGGAAAGTTTCTAGTTTAGAGTCATTTGAGTAATAGTGTTCCAGGCTATTAATAAATAATATATTAAATATATGCACATTTGATCCAGTGCCATCGGTACCTACAATCCTGGTCCAAAAATCATGGTGCTTCCATAAAACCCATCATGTAAGTATCTGTGCTAATCAGGATTTTTTTTAAGAATCACCTGGTAATACCTTTAAACACTTTAAACTCCTTGAGTCATTTAGTCAGACCTGCACCCCGGTCTTTTTAGCTTTTTAAAGGCGGAGGAGTAAGTGCTTCTCTGATACTGAGGAGCTGCCGACATAGTCAGAAGAATACCTACTGCGTGGTCCCCAGTTTGGGAGCTGGGAACTGTTCCTCTGTTGGGCTTGAGCTGTGGCTGAAGCAGGACTTAACCAGGTGGTTAAAGGCTTGGTACAACTGAAATACAACCTAAGCCTTAGTATCTTGCAAAATGCAGCTCCGTTTGACATTTAAAACCTTTTAAAAAGCAATTATTTTTTTTTCCCAAGGCCCTATATAAAGTCAGTCTTAGTGCCGGGACTGTGACCAGACTCCCACTGCTTTCCTGCACATCCTGGAGAAGCTGAAAGCAAGCACAGGTCAAGACCTTACTGCTACATCAGAGTTCAGATCTGAATTTCTTGTTGGAGCCAAAGCAAATTATTTTGATTCAAGCGCAAATGAAAACCCTTCAGTGACTGTTGTGAGAATCAAAACCAGCCTCCAAACCAAAACAGGTTTTGTTTCCAGGTCGTGAGGTTTCTGTAAAGTTAGTTTTAATACACTCGGAGGAAATATGAAACAAAAGCCTGAGAAATGCAATGGTGGGGAAGCTGCAACTTGTTTTGGACTTTTCTCTTTTTCCAAATTTGGGTTTTTTTTGCATACTGCCGCCTGCATGTGCAGCTCTGCAAAGGGCTGCAATGCAGCCAGGGCTGCATTTTTCAGTGGAAGTTTTTTATTCGCGTGGAAGCTGTTGCCGGGTGTATCCACTTGCTACTGTCCTCCTTTCTAAATGCCACCAAGCTTGTCTAGCCCCAATAAAACTAACATTGCCAATCCAGTTAATCCAGCTGGTCAGACAAGTGGGAGTGGGAACACCTCACCAAGTCAAGGAGAGGTGATGCCGGAGGGGGAGCAGATGTCCCTGGCTTTAAATGGCAGCAAGGTCCCAGCTCAGCTTATGAAATTCAGGCTTTTTCGCTGGTATAGATCACAGCAGGATTTATCTCGTCTTCCCATCCCTTGAGCTGTGCAAAAAACCACCAGTCACAGCTTTATGTTCTCCTTTAAATGTTTTTCTTTTTAATTATTTTGTCAAGAAAGCAATAAAACATCATCTTAAGGAGCCTCCATAAATTTGTGAAGCTAATAAAATCACTGGATGATGGCACGGGTTTGGAGCAGTTAACATTAAATATTTAATGTATAGGGGCCAATCCTTCTGAAATCATTTACACTGCCATAGCAGGTCCGTGCCACTCGCCATTGAGCGCCAGAGAGCTCCCGTATGAAGAGCTACTTGAAACCCATTGCAGATCAATGTTTAATGCCATACCTTTTTGTCTTCCTTTTCTTTTAACAATTAATATGGGACTATATGCAGTTATTTTATAGCCTCCATAAAGTTAATCCTGTGCTAAGGACCCCTTTTTACCTCAATCATTTAGTTAAGGGCTTAGGAGCTATAATGAGGTTTTTCCCCGCACAGCAGCAGTGCCTACGCCAGAGAGTTGGTTTTGTGGGGAGGAAGCCAGATTCGTACCCCGGGGTGGTTAAATATATGCAGCTAAATAAGCTGGCAGTGGAGAGGGCAGGGTGATGAGGCTTTGGGTTTCTGCTTGGGGAACCCCAAATGCAAAACCCTGAGGAAAGATGAGCTCCTTCCCCTGCAGTGCAAAGCAAATAAACAAGATACAAGTGGTGTTAGCATTTCCATTTTACAGGCTGCAGGAGCTTGCTCACCTGCTCTTACTTAACCTGTGGCAAAACCCAGTTCTCAAACAGCTTTCCTGACCTTTCTGCTGGCACCTTTATCACAGGACTCGTCCCCTGCCTTTTGGCAGGAGGGCTCTTTACAAGGCATGAGCTGGGAGAGTTCTGCTTCCCTTGGCCGATAAAAAGGCCAACAAGTGTATGTGCCTTAGCAAATTCCTGTTCTACAAAGGGCACCTTCTGGCCATGCAATATAGATGCCAGAAGGAGTTAGTTTTTAATTGTTTATAGCTTCTTGAAGCGCAGGTAATGCTGTTTATCGTTGAGATCTTGCTCCTGTCTCTTAACAATAATATTCTCTCTACAAATGGGAACTTGTTGGGTTTTTGTCTTTTATCTGTGTGATTTCTAATGCAGCTAACCCAGGAAGACAAACTTGAGTTTGCAAACTCAAAGCCTGTGTTCTGCATCACTATGGTTTCTGAATCCAGCAATGAGATGTGATTTTGTTGCGTTTTTGGCTTGGTTTTGCTTGTGGTTTTGGTTTCTTTCCACCCATTCCCTTTCCAAACTAGAAACAGACAGCAAAGGGGGAAAACACAAACTATAAAAGAAGAAACAAACTGGTAAGACTTGAAACCTTGCTGGCAGCCTCACTAGAAAGACTCATGTGAATGCTGACTATCATTCTAACCTTAATCTCCATTTTCTGTTTCTCATCTCAGCAGTAGCTGCATCCAGCGACCAGAGCCAGATCCCTATAATTGTTGTGTCTGTAACAGTGGGAGTCATTCTGCTGGCCGTTGTTATCGGTTTCCTTCTCAGCGGAAGGTAAGTGAAGAAGCTGTGTATTTATACTTCTCCAACTTTTGTAATAACTTTTATCTGACCGGCTGATTAGCGCGATTTAGGTGGAAGCAGCATGTGAACGAAGCTGTCGAGCGGTAGCACTGTAAAACAGCATGAGGGTGCACTGATTGATCTGTTTGGACAGGCAGGAATGGCAAAGGCTCGCTCACAGATGTAGTTCACTTCCCCATGATTTTCATCTCTGTATAGACTGGCCCTGATTATTCGACTTGATTCTCACAAGAGTGTTGTCACATTCCTTTAAAAATAAGCAGAACATGTTATTACAGGTAAAATATTCTGAAGCCCGTGTGTTTGCACTCGGAGCTTGCAATGGGCTTTGCTCACAGAGAAAACTTGACTTCAGGAAGACACTTGCAAAGTAAAAGAAGAAACCCAGCCGAATGGCCAAATGCCGCAAGTTTTGGACGGGTCTGGATTTCATTTTTCCTGTGTAGGACATGTGTTCCCCATGCACTAGTAAATTGTACAGAGAGCTCCCCCCATGGAGGGAGACACTCAGCTTCAAACGATCAAGCGATCCCACTGACTTCTCATGTGCTTAAACATAGGCAAGTGATGAAAGCCTGGGCTATGCCATCTTTGACAACTCTAATGGAAGTTGATGGAACTCATTGGTGAACAAGGGATTGTGGTAGTGGGGGAAAATCTGGCTTATATCAGGATCAGGTTGTACTGCGGCACTAAACTTGCGTAGCAGCCAGTACAGAAGGCACTTTTTTCATATACTACACATGTATTAATACATATTTTTTAAAGACAGTAGTGAAACGATGCAACACCCTTCACGCAAAGCCATGTGAGGTGCATCTATTGATAAGGCTGAAGTGCAAAGTAAACATTTATGCTTCTAAGGTACCCGTCAGTGCACTGTTGCTTTCATGATACAGGTCTGTCTTAAGCTCGGGTCTAGCAAGGTGGCTGTAAATTACAGGATATCCTAAGTGTTAAGAGTAGTTAGAAGATACTCACAGAGGAACTGTGCTGATACTGAACGTATTAGCTGAGGGTCTTATTTCCCAGAGGAGGTAGGGTATCAGTCTGCGAATGCGGCGTGGTGAAATCCAGCCAAGCTGAGCAGCTCTGTCCCCAGGCACAAGGCATCCATGCAAAGACACAGTTATTTCCTGTCGTAAAAGGTAAGTGTGCTGCCAGACTCATCTCCACTCAAGGTCAGAGACTGACAGTCTCTTCTAGCTCAGCCATTCGAGCTCCTGTTGTCTGCTTTGAGTGACTTGTTGGCCTTAAAAATGGGAAAGTAAATGCTCCTGCCTCTGCACAAGACGCATTTAGCGGTGTGTGTGGAGGGTGAATGGCTACAGGCCATTCACACCAGGGGCTACAGGACAGTTCTTGCCAAAAAGACTTGGCTCTGAACACTGTGGGCAGGAGTTCAAGTCTTTCCTTAAAGGCTGGAGGTTTTGAGTCAAATCTCTCCTTGAACAGAGCAGGGAGATGTGGACCATGGCCTCCCCCAGCCTGGATGCATGCTTGTATCGATGCAAACAGGCAGATGCACGCGTGGCTGTAGGGAAGCTATGGATGTAGCCTGGTACCTCTGCAAGGAGGGGTCTGGTGGGATGAATCGCAGGTGGAGAGCCGTATATCCCTCTGTGGCCATAAGGAGTCACAGCTGTGTGGCAACCAGCAGCTCTTGCTCTTCCCACAGTCACTGGCAAGCGCTCGGGACCCCTTTGGGGGGAGGACATGCCCTTGCAGGTCTCCTTTTTGCTGCTACCCTCTCTGGTCTGAGCAAACAGTTGCAAAGTCCAAGCCATTTGTCAGCAATTTTCATTAGTTATGTCTTTCTGTCCTTTGCCCTGATAGGCTTTCCAGGATGTGCTTCCTCTTGGCTCTCTAGCTCTTGGCATGTTTATAAAAGCCATTGTCTCCTTTGGCTAGAGTTTTATTGACACCTCTGCTGCTGCCTTAATCCTCCTGCCTTGTACTCACACTTCTCTCCGTGGACCCCAGGGCAGCTGCAGGTTCCCAGGAGCTTCTCCATGGTGCCATACTGGGTGTATGGAAAGGGGCAGGCAGAGGCAGCTGAGCTCTTAGTCCATTTTTATCTTTTCAACCCTTCCCCTAAACTGGAAAGAACCCAGTCCCTCAGCTGGAGGTGGTGGAGCCTCCAACACCAAGGTCTGGTCCATCGTTAGAGAGTTAGCTTCAAAACCACAGAGCTTCTTGGCTGCTTTGAGTTCCTGTGAATTTTGAAGCCCGTCTAGTGCGTTGAATGACTCATGAGAACAGAAAAATAAACCACAGAAGCCCAGAAAACTGGCAGCCAATTTGAAATTAAACAAAGCAAAACAAAAAAATTGCTTCTGTTTGGAAGAAGCAGAAATGCTGCTGAAATGTGTCAGTCACGCTGCTTTGCCTTGGATATCGTTTTGAGATGATTCGTGGAGTAACTTTCCTGCTGTGACACTGCGGGGATGATAAACGCATTCCAAGTCATGGGATAATCCCTTTCTGAAGCTGTTAACCTGTTTCTGGAAGACACTTTCCTGTATCTTTGGAGTGGTTATGTTGTTCCAGTGCCTGGTTCCAGGGGGTTGAATATCCTTTCTAATTCTTCCCCATAGTTGCTTTTAGAAAAACAGACATTTTGAACTCCAGGAGCTGCTCCAGCTGGAATCACCACTGCTTTCCACGCTGAGCAAGCTGTGCCAAGCCCAGGTTCTGTCTTTTCTAAGGAGAGCAGGTATGGCCCAGCAGCAAAGCTAAGGAGAAAAACCCTCTTGCTCTGAAGCAGTGAGGATGTAGCCTGGCAGGCTCCTGCAAACAGGCTCCTCGTTGCTGGCTCTGTGCTGCTCCCAGGCTCCGTGGGAAGCCCATGGCACCTCAGAATGAGGATATTCCTCCCTAGGATGCTGTATGGCATCTCTGTGCCTATCCTCCCAAATGCTGGGCTGAAGAGAGCTTGAGGGCAGTCCTGCAGTGAGAAGGGGGTGTCCTCCTGCTCTCGGCAGCTTGGAAAATAATTCCCCAGCCATAGGACTCGGAAGTTTGCTCTGCTCTGCAGGCTTTTGATTTTCCACTAGGTCCCCGGAGGTAAAACTTTCCACACCTCTTCCCCTTTTTTTGCTTTCAAGTATCTCTGCAGTTTTCTCTCTTGTTTTGAATGAATGTAAATAACAGCTTGGCATTTCCCATTGGCAGCTGGCCCTATACCAAAGGTCAGCTGAACGGTAGTCATGGTGGCATTTCCACATGCCAGCGTCCATCTGTGGAAATGCACTTTGTGTATGAAGCTGGAGATTCCTGGGAATTTGAAACTAAATGCACTTTGCCCTAAACAATTAAGCTGCGTTTCGGAGCTGATTTACTTGCAGATGCTCGGGAAAACTCTTCCTGTAAATAATGAATCCTCTGACCAAGGTCATAAATGCCACCAAGCAAAATAGCTGATCACTTTTTTAAGTTATCCCACTCTTTGCATCAAGGGCATATTAATAATATAACGATCAGGACGACAAATCAAAGAGATTCACTAAATCAGACCGTAGTTGTCTCAGCAAAAAAGAGAAGTGGATTGAAAATCTATTATTAAACCAGCTACAAGCACTGAATTAAAGAACACAGAGTTGTTATCTTTGTTTTGTTAGGATTACATGTTCTTCTTGAAAGTGCAATGCATTTTACAGATAGAGCAAGGCTATAAATTTTGCTTTCCTAGCAATGCTTGAATTAGATGCCCCTTGGCATCGTTCTTCCTAATTGAAGTATATATTCATCTAAAATCATTACAGACTTTTGTTTTACGGTCTGTGTCAGACAATGCCAGTCACAAAGATCTTTGTGCTCCATCTTGCAAGGAGCAGTAAGGTGCTACAGTTGTTGTTGTGGCGTCAGCCCCTTTCTTCCTACATACTGAGGTAGGAAGCCAGGTTTTCATCAGCCTCGGAAGGAGACCCACTGCTCCAGAGCAGTTCCCCCTCTTTTGTCCTTCAAACCTCTTTGCAAAACTGATGGGGTCTTGGGGTGGGTGTTAGACCGCTGGTCCCTCCAGTCCCCCAAGCATTTGAGCTTTGTGGCACTAAACAAAGGCATGGCCTTTTACAGAGTAAATTGGGGATGCTATTAGGTCAGTGCTGTGCATATTTGCAAAAGCTGCTCAAAATAACTAAGAAGTGTACTGTGCATCTGCATTTATAGCCAGCTACCTATTATGGATGACCTTTCCATCTCAAGTGATCTTCCAAAGAACCAGAGGGAGCTTTTTATAGAACTTAAGAAAAAAAAGAGATGTGAAGCAACAAAAAACTGCCCCTCGCCCTGTGTCGTGCATATGTGGAAAGTCTCTTTCTGGCAAGGAACTAGCCTTTGAAAGACAAAGAAAAGACAAATCTTGCCACCTGGGTATTGGCAATTAGAGGCTTCTGCACCAGAGTATCCATCCTTGACCTTAGCTGATTTAGACTTTTAAATATCAGCCCCTGCGGTGGCAGAGGGCTACTTTCTGGACACAAATATGTGCATCTTGTTAAAAAGTGACTTTCAGGGAGTAAAGAGGGTGAAAGGATTGCGGTGTATATCCTAGGTCCTGAGCCAGCGTTTGCAACATTCCGTGATGTGGAAGGTCAAAATGAATGAATTTTTCCACAACCTTCCCCCATCCTATTTGCCAAGATGTGTCAGGGCTTAAAATAGTTGGCTTTTTCGATATTTCCGTAGGAAGTGGGAGACAGTTTGTAGATAATGTTTTTCATAGAGAGAATTTTTCCAGCATGAGTCACAATTTTTGTTAGTTGTGACTTTCTAAAGGGTTTTTATCTCTACATTCTTGCCTGCTCTTCCTTCTTCCTACAGGACATTGTCTCCCGTGATTTATAGCCACTTTATGATGCTGCCTACTGCCAAATATTCCCCACGATTCACCTGACAAGAGGAAGGATTTTGTTGGGGAAGCTATCGCTCTGCCAAGTCAAAATTCCCATCCACCAAGAGCAGGCAGGGTCTGGTCTTGCTTCTGTTTGGGTCAAGGTTTTTACCACCTCCGTCATGTTGACAGCCTCTTCGCTTTTTGGCGGTTTGCTCTTTGCCAGAGGGGAGCGTTAGCAGCATTGGTATACAAGTTCCCTCTCTGAAAAAAAGTGCTCCAGTGCACCCTTCTGCACCAGGTGATGCCTTTCCAGGGCTGGTGTGGAAATCTGCTGCCCGTAGTCCCCATCTCTAGCATCCTGCCTAGATCAGATTGGCAAATTTGGCTGCTCAAACATCTTTTTTCTTTTTTATTCTAAACACTTTTTGGCTTAGTACTTCTGTGCAAACATACTGGACTGCGCAAGCCAGTCTGAGCTGCTGCAGTTGCGAGGAGGGTTTAGGGACCTAGGCTAATCTGCCTTCAGATGACTTTGGCCCAGGCAGGAGGTGAGAGTTGACCAAATCTGTAATTAAGCTCCAAGCCCATGAGGCATTGCCCTTGAAAGCAGCATTTCTGAGTTATTCTGGCAGCAGCCAAGGGAACGGGGCAGGAGAACCGTTGTGAACAGATAAGCGGCTGGCATAAGCTTCGTCTGAGCAGGGAAAATGTGGGGGAGAGCAGCAGTCAGTGATGAAAGCTCCTCACCTTCATTCGGATGACGTGTTTGATGGCATTGTGCAAGTCCCGTTTCCACTTCAAGAAGGGAACTGGGCTGCCCTTCAAGCTGAAAATGGAGCCTAACTTCAGTGGTAGCAGCTCCAGGCTCCTGCTGAGCACTGGTGAAAGCCCCATGCATCCGTAGTGTTTTAAAGTGGGGTTTTAGAGTATCTTCTCTTGGCTGTGGAGTGGGTAGAGGATGAAGAAGAAAATCAGACTGTTGTCCCTTTGCACTTCTGAATATGTGGATGTTTCACCTGGCTTTGGATGCTAGAAATAGGAAGCGTGACTTCTGAGGGCGCGCCTTGTTGTGGCACTTGGCCTCTTACCTAGAAATAAGATTATCCCTACTTTCTTACGGCTTAGACATAGCAAAGTATAATGCCAGAGGTCTTTCCAAGTGCAGTTCCTTTCTTTGGAAGCATTGTTCTCCTTCCCTGTAGTGACTGCATAGATATCATCTGCTTGGGCTTCTGCATTCTCAGTTATTCTCGAACAGCGCAGAGATGTGCTTTAATAAGAGGAGGTCACTCCTTAAACATTCACATAGTTCTGGGCAAAGTAGGAGTATATTCTGAGCAGCTCACAGTCTGTAACGCTGCTCCTCTGGTGTTCAAAGCAAGCTTGTTGACTCACGAGGTGCTAGGTGTAATGCTGGCCTCCTGACCTGAAGATGCAGGAACGAATGATTGCCATTGCTCAAGGCCGTGTGAAGGATTAGAAAAATCTTCCCAGGCATGCTCAAGTATTTTAGTCTCTAATTGCAAACCTCTGAAGAACATTCCATTAGAGCAGCTTATTAAAAGCAACAAACGAGGCTTTCATTTATCATGATTCCAAGTCTTCAACTTACAACTCTTAAAAGCCGCAGCTATATATGGCAGGGGCCCCCCCGGATCAAACCACTAAAAATGTAGTTTAACTCCAAATGCTCTCTGGGTCATCTGCAGACTTGTGGTAAATTAATTACATTGATTGCAGGCACAGTTGTTGGGGCCCATCATACATATACATTACATTAACAAAGCATGTAACTCAGGGTTTGAAACAATGCCAAAGTTGTTGATAAGTCCTCCTAGCACAGGTTTATTAAAGTTTTCTCTCTGGACAGTTGGGTTTGCAAACCACATAGGCTTTTTGGGGGTCACCTTTGCTGGAACTGGAGGAGTGTCGGCTTTGTGTGCCTGAGATAACCAGAAGTGGTAGAGCTGGACTAGGCACGAAGCAGGGCGGTGCCAGCAGGCCATGGAGGTCCAGGAGCTGCTGCTGGAGCTTCAGGCTCCTCTACGTTGTCTCTGCCCATCTGCAGCCCTTTCTTTGAAGCCAGGGCTTGAAGCAGAAGTCAGACCAGCTTGGCTTTTGGAGATGCTGCCGCCTCAGCACCTCGTTCTTTCCCAGCAAAGGGAATTTAACGCTGCAGGTTGTTTCTCAGTAATCTTCACCATTACGTGGACGTGTCATCTGTTAACCTGCAGCAGACTGGAGGGGCTCCTGACCACCCACTGGAGCCAGGGGCAGCCCCCACAAGCTGGTTGATTCAGTGAGGCTGGAGAATTTGCAGATAATTATGATGTATACAGTGCTTGGTTCAACTTTAACTCCTCCCTGATACAGGTCAGCTTGCTGGCTAAAGATTTTAAAACCCCAGAGAGGTCCGGGCATATTTCACTGAGCGGTGATCTCCTGTTCTGCCACAGCATTTGATCTCATCTGGAAAGCGTTTGCTTTCAGCTCCTCAGTTTCTAGACCGAGAAAGCCCTTTGTGGAGCAAGGAGATGGGGAAACTTTGCCCCTCTTAGAAGCCATCAGCACCCAAATGCAGCAGCCATGAAGGCACAGTGCGTTTGCTGGAGTTTAACATCCAGTTTTATTTGCCTCAGGATTTTTCTATTCTGAAGTTTATCTGCCAAATCAAGCCATCCTTTTAACATGAGCAGTAATAAGTCTTCCTTTGTCCTAACTGTTCAGGCCAAGTAGTCCGTTCACTTACCTATCCAAGTGCTCCTGGGACTGGAAAGTGAATCTTATTGTCTGCTGAATCAGTTTAGTTTGTTTCTAAGAGCTTTAGATTTCCCCTAATGTTACACCTCAGACTATTTTGACCCCAAGTGCACAACATTATGTGATGGGTGTGCAGGAGTAATGCTGCATCGAGGCATATTTTCCTTGCACTTGAGCAGTTTTTCCTCCCCATAAAGGGAGCGGGTGAGATCTGAAGCATTCTGCATTCAGTGCAGGGAACTGATTTTGTCTCCGAGCAGCCCGGGTGCTGATGAGGTGCTCAAGACTTTGTTTAAGAAAACAGCGAGCTCTTTTCATTTTAAGGAATTGGTTGCTTTTCAGGGTAATTGAACTGTTGTTTCAAAAACCTTGACTTTGCAGGCCAAGCGGTGTTGGAAGGTCTGGTGGCAGCAACTGTTAGAAAATACCTGGGGCGAAAGGGCCTCCTAGCCAAAACGTAAGCTAAGTCGTCACAGCCACAGTGATCTTCTGGAGGTGTACCAGTTCCCTGCTCTCAAATCCTGCGAGGTTAAACCCAGAAAATGGCAAAACTGACTCAAAATATATAATGCTTGGGTTCTCTTTGTGTGCTTTTGGGCTTGGACCTCTGGTGTTAACATGGATCAATGCAGAGGTTTAGTGAAGGCTGAGCTGCCTTTGTATTAGTATGACTGCACAAGCTGGGGCATTGTATGATTACGAAAATAAAAAATATTGTCAGTTATAGTAAAAAAACATTGGCATTGCTGTTTAGAAAATGTTAGCAGGTTGTTTTGCTGATGCAAAAGGAGCTTAGAGAGACATTCTTCACCAGTTCTAATTTAAGTAAGCACATAATCCAGTATATAATTCTGTAAGCCATTGCATGCCAGAAGTTATTTTGCATCATAATTTAAGGCGGTGCAGTTGCAGAATGTTAATTTTGTGTAAATGGGCTGTTTTAATGTGTCTAGGCATTGTAAGTAATACTTTATAAAAATCTGATGGGCACAATGTTTCTTCAAGAACGACATGTTATGATGGTTTGAGGAGGAATGGTGAGAGAGATCTTCAGCTGACTTTAACCAGGGTATGTCTGCACCGCTGGGCTCCTGCTTCTATATCGTACTGAAGTTCTTCCTGTTGTTTCTTCTGCACTATGTTCTTTTTCAGGATGAATTACCTTAATAGATTTGGTAACAGAAAAATTGTCCATGCAAGTTCTCTGACAAGGATAAAAGGCAATTACTGAGGTGCAGCCAGCCTCGAGTTACGGACTGATGCCAGGCGAACCCATGCTCTGATTAGACTAGAGTAATGGCTCAGCAACCTTCACAAGCAAGCTGTGAACGCACACAGTGCCTTTCAACTCACCGTATTTTGAATTTATTTAGGCTGAATGCTCTCACATGACTCATAAGGTCCTGCTTCTGCAGATGGGCAATGCGCGTGCAAAGCTTCACTGAGAGAAGGAGACCCAGAAAGGGCTGTGTGAGTTGAATATGTGCATAAGAGTCTGCTAAAGCAGGGCTTACATTCATCCAGTGATTTTTTTTTTTTTTTTAAAGGAAATTGTAACTGTACCACACACAGGCTTGTGGAAAAAGTCACTTTGCCTGCTCCAAGGCAGGTGCTTAAGTTTAAGCACATGGGTGGCCCTGTTAATCCTCAGGGTGGTACTCAAGTACGGGAAGCACATGGTTAATTGCTTTGCAGGACCAGGATCTACAGGCTTTCCCCAAGGTGTTTTTCCCCAACAGTAGCACGTGAAATGAAATTCTTGCAGCCCGGGGTGTTAAGTTCCAAATAGTCATTGCAATAAGAAGGAAGAAGTTCATATAAAAATATTGCAAATGTATTGCACCTTGCCAGGGCAGTGGGATTATTCCTTATCATGGGCCTTTTTGTTTGCTTTTCAGTTGCTGCGATCATGGCTGTGGGTGGGCTTCTTCTCTGCGTGCTGTTGCCTATCCGAGCCTAACATGGTCAGTGTTCCCACCCGTGCTGGCTCCTATTTCGTGTCCTCCCTCCATTTTTTCTGTGCACAGTCTGCCTCTCCCTCTCTTTCTTGTATTGGCCTGGAAATCGCTTTCTCATCCGATCTCTGCACCCAGCTTGTCTATCTCAACAACTGGAAATAGCATGACCCGAAGCAGAGCGTGCCTCCAGTAAGAGCAGGGGCCCTGGGGAAAAACAACCTGATATGTTATGCCATGATCAATCCAGACACTGCACCAGCAATGTCATGTGTCATAATAAAACATCATGTATGCTGGACACTTCCATCAAATTCTGCTTCTTGTCACCAACAGGGCCCGAGGGAGATAATTTGCCCCCAGAGAGGAAGCAGGGGGCAGGCGGGAGCGGAAGGGTATTTAGTGGCATGTAATGTGCATGTCAGTGAAACAAACTGTATGTCATCGACATACGTGTTAATGTATGACATACACAACAATGACATGGTGCTGTTTGCCAACGATATGCTCCAACGGTGTTGGACATATCTCTGCGGGCGTCGAGCTGCGTGTCCGTGCTGCATGCTGCCCCGTTCTGACACTATCTGGGCTGCCTCACCAGGTTCTGCTCTCTTGTACTCTCCCCTCTTTTCTAACTAATCAAAGGAAGGGTGATTTTAATTTCTGTTGGTTTGACTGGACACAAGTTGAGTTGCGTCCCAAAGGGAATGTGGTTTAGTTCTCTGAATCGGCTGTAATCTGTGCAGGCAGAGATCTTCCTAAGCCTCCTAGGAGACTCGTGAAATCACCATCCCCATCAGACAGCTGTTGGAGGCCAGAGGAGCACCGAGATGTCCCACGTGCATTGTTAAACTGGGAAGGTTTTGCAGCATAGCTGGGCGAGCGGTGTGAAACTCTTCTGCTGTGTTTTCTGGGGATGCTGAGGCTTTGCACAGTGGTAGCTGGGGCATGGTGCAGTCCCTGGCTGTGGGGCACAGTGGTCACCAAGGTGGACTGTTTTTAGGTCCTATAGTGCTGTATTTTGGCTCTGACAGAGGCGTGAACCAGGGAGGAGTTTGCAAATGCAAATCCCAAAGGCGGTCCAGCAGAAGTCTTTTTTCTTTTCCTGTTGGAGAATTTTTAAATTGTTTTGGTGACTTTGGAGTGCTTAAGAGCAGTGCTAGCAAGCAAGGCTGCTCAGCTTGAAGTGTTTGGCTGCAAAATGTTCTTCTGGTACGTGCGGCCATTCCTGTGAGCCACCGGTTGGCAATGATTGCACTAAAAGAAAACCTCCTGGTACTTTTGATGTCTGTTGTGCCCGTGCCACCAGCACACGAGCAGTCCCTCACTGGGAGTGATGCTTCAAATGTCCTCAGCAAGGCCCCCAGCCAGAGAGTGGCAGCAATGGAAAATACTTTTCAGAGGAGACCGGGAATGGACTGGATGGCTGCGAAGAAGAGAGATACATAGGGAAAACTTGGCTGACCTGGAAAACACCCTCTGCAAGTTTCCTTCTAAGCTGCAGAGAGACTAACGTGGCAGCAGGCTGAGAGGGGGAAATGGGAAAAGTGACTTCAAGGCAGGGACGCCATCGGCTGTGCTATGAGAAGGCACAACAACCTCTTTAGAGAGATTTATGGCGATCACTTCAGAGGGAGCTTCCTGTGAGAGGAGGAAATGGTATCTTGTTTAAATTATTTTTAATTGTTCTGGCAGTGGTTTAGGAAAGCAGGGAGTCATTCAGTGCAAAGGCAGAGAAAGACTAAAGGCTAAAAATACCACTGCTGGAATTGTGAAACTTCCTTTGTAAGGCGTCCAAGTTAATTGGAGGTCAAAGGCAGGGTTGCAGCCTATGGAGGGGGACAGTAGTGGCTGGGAAAGCAGCAGAGAAGACGGTGAGCCTACAGTCCTTATGAGGGGAACCTGCCCTGGTTCCTCTTGGGCCAGTTGTCTAGTGGGTCTTTGAACTGAGCCAAAGCTCTTAGCTTGTCATCTGCAGACCTTTTACTGCTCTTTTGATGCTGTTCTCCAAATTATAGGAGAGTAGATAGAGGAGTTGCATGAGTCAGATTCCCAGCCTACATGGGTTGCACCAGGTTACTCCAGGTGAAAGTTTGGTCCAGTGCAATGGAAGCAACTCATTACAGACATCAAAAAAACAGGAGGAAAGTGAACAGAAAAATGGGAAACAACTTCCAGTGTAATAGCTGTTTGGTTTACATCAGTCCCTTGAGTATTCCCTGGTTTTGTGATACCGAATATATTCTAGGATTGCAGGCAGCAAAAGCGAATGCAAAGGTGAACGTGGACCAGTGTCACTAGAGGTAGACTTTTGGCTCTGGCTCTCAGTATCGGTGTTGTTTATCCAGGATAAAACTATTCACTGAACAAGTTATTGTCTCCACACATGAGCTGAAGCGACAGGATCTTGGCCAGATAGACGGATCTGTGTTTGTTTGTTTCTTCCTCTGGGTGGAACACGGTCCTGCCCTGCAACACGTATACAGCCTTATTGCTTTAACATGTTGGAATAAATAGTCTGAAATGAGCGCTAACCCCCTGTAAACAACCTTGCGGTCCTCGCAAACCTCATGTAAAAAGGCAGCTTGAGATGGGTTGGATGCATTCCTCAAAGTTGATTTATTGTAAAAGATTGCTTGTGAGTGAAGGTCTCACCTCTGAAAAGCAAGTGGCATTTTTTGCCTGTTTCAGAGAAGTGCACATAGTTCATTTAACTCACATTTAAGGTATTATATACATGTATAAATCTCTGCAGGACCGGGATGGGAGATTGCATTCTACTTCAGGGCACAGACTGCACCTAGCAAGGTGAGGTCCCTTTCCTCATTGAGGATGTCTAAATGCTGTCCCCGTGTGCATTTCCAGTAACGCCTTGGCTGTGTGCTGAGATGCTTTAGCCTATGCCTACGAAAAAGGTATATAAAGACTCTCCCACATCACTGCCTAGGGCCTGGATGGCCAAAGTCCAGCTCCATAGTCCCTCAACTGTGTCCTGGTTGTGACCAGAGTGGTAGCCCCAGCTAGGGAGATGGAAACTCCTTCCCTCAGCCATTCTGTGGTTTTGGGGGGATGCTTCAGGTGGCTGAGCAAGGGCACCCCGAAGCGCAGGGTCAGATGCAAAGTATCGGCCCAGGGAGAGCAAGCATCTTCCTGCCTTGTTTCTTGAAGGATTTTTCTCCATGAATTGGCTTCTGCCATGCAAGGCAGTGGGCATTGGTTTCCCAGCTGGATTCTTCATCTTTCTACCTGTCCGTTTTATATTTTATAAACCTATATAGGGATCATTTTACAACTTCACTTCTATAATCTGCCCCGTAAATATTTTACAAGCTGCCTGCCAATCTGCAAGTAGTTTTTAAATAAGACATGATGCCTTAAGAATATTTAAAGTCTCACTTTTTTTGCTGTGATACTTTTATTGAAAAACACAGAGCTGTGCAAGGAAGACATCTGCTTTCTAGATACAGAAACTGGGACAAATCCACTACAGGAGTAAATGGGTTGAAATTCAGGTGTGCTGCTGAATTACGTTAACTCTTTGGCTGAGTGTCTCCAGCTCAGTGGGAGATGAAGCGAGTGTCAGGATCTTTATGCTTTTGCAGTACGTGATATAGAAAAGATATAGGAAATCTATGGTTTGTACAATGTCAATAAACTAGAGAATGAGTCTTCCATCAGGAGGCTTTTGACTCTCAGCTTTTCCAATATTAAGAGCAAATGCACATGCAGAAATGGAGTATTTCACAAACAAGTGGGAACATTTCTTCCCCCAAAATATATTGCAAATCCACAATATTTAGATAACTCTTATCTACCAGTAAGATTCACGTAGTGAATATACTAAATAGCAGATTTTTATGGGATTTAGTTGGGGAAGACAGGAGAAAAAACTGCTTGTGTGTGTTATTCAAAGCATCTGAAGGTCAAGAAGGGAAGAAGTGTGGTTTAGCCCCAGTCAGCGTGTACAGGGCTTGTTTCTCTGGGTAGTTTAAGAAAGCGAGCGTGCGAAGGGCACAAGCCATTGCAACAGCCAGGCTTTGCAGCAAGCTTTGTTAGTGACACCCAACTGGTGCCTGAGGGTCACAGTCCACTAGCAGCCATTTCACTTTGGTGGATCTTGTCGAGGCTTGGTTTAACGATGCTCTGGGGGTCCCAGAGCCTGACTTCGTAAGCTAGTGTGACGTGCTGCTCTATGTGTTACCCAGCTCGAGAGAGGGAGGCAGCCAGAGCCAACTGGTTTGCATTTGCCCTGTTAATGTGTCCCTGGGCAGTAAAACGTGAACTGTTGTCCATCAAGTTGTGCTTGGATCACTGGACACAAGCGATGGCATGTTCCCCATTTCTCTCTCCTCCCTCTTTATGGTCAAAGAATCAGGAGATGCAGGTAGTAAAAAGGATAATGTTAGAAAAGCTTATTTATAGGTGAAGTACGCCAAACCTGAGGAAGAGATGAGGGCATTTGCTCTAAAAAGCAAACAGAAGAAATCTTCTATATGTGCATTTGGTAGGATGAATTGAAACATTTGTGTATTTTTAAGAGGAAAAATGAGTTATACGCCTCATTCCAGAAAATTACTTCTGCAGAAAACTGATATAACTTTTGGCAACTTGCATCAGAAAAAAATTGGGGTTACCAGAAGTGGGAATTGACACTGATACGTATATCCCTAGTTTATATACTTAAAGGGAGAGGCAGTATGATGAAGAAGAAGAATGCATTTTCACCCAGGGATTGCGAACACCAGAATGTGCTTTGAAATGACCCTTACTCCCAGGGCCTCCACATACACCTAGAGCTTAGTTTTTGAGTTAATTAGGCAGGACCCCATCTCGGGAAATGGCAGTGCTCCCACTAGAGCAAGGTGACGAGCACCGACACGTGGATAACTGAGCCATGTCTCCGGGCACCTCATTGCCGCTCTCATAGGTTTTGCATTTGGAGCGTGATGGTCTCAGCTTGGTCGCTGCTGCTGAAATTGCTCCCTGCATGGATAGCCTGGCTGTTTATCAAGTGCGACCTGTTTATTGCCCCTGTCATCTCCCTGCCTGTGCCCCCGGACCGCCTGCCAGCCTCCCCGCCTTGTCTTCTGCACCTTGTCTCGATCCATTCCCCTGCGCTTGCACAACCTTTGCAGTCTGTTTTTTCCTCTTCTCCCCTTGGCACAGGTCTCCCCTTCTCCCTGAGGTAAGCTTGCGTGCCTGCTCCCCTTCCCCGGAGTAACCTTGGGAGGTGGTGTTGTTTTTCTCTTCCTCAACCCTCCGGTGTCCAGCTCTGCGGTGCGCGCATCCCGTCGTGTTCGGGCTTTTGTTTCTAATCATGATCGTTTCACAAATCCAGTGCCAAAATCCTATCGCCAAAAGGCTGTTTGGCCCCTTGCAACCAGGCAGACAGCAGTTCCCTGTAATAAGACTTCATGCTGAGGGCATGTTTCATGCAGATGCCTGTTACTGCCTCCTCCTAATTGCAGTTTTGTTTCTGCTAATCGTATGCTCCTCCTTGCTGTGAGTACTGCTGGAGTACTTGCATCTCCGTATCTCAAAAATCATGGGCAATAGAAGAGAAGACTCCAAGTTTCTCAGCTTTAAGTGGCTCCTTGGTAACCTGAGGCTTTCTTTAAGGTGTGCCAACTCACAATCCCACTGCGCGTGGGCTGGCTTGCAGGTGTCCATTGCAGGTTTTTCACTCTGCCAAGCAGTGTCGCTTGGTCTGATGTCCATGAGGTTTGCTTTAAGGATGATCCAGCTCCTGCATCCAGTTATTGTATGAGGTCCTTAGAAAGACTGCCATATATATGTGCATCATACATACCTCATCCCATATTTTTAAACATATATATATGTGTGTGTATAGCAGTTCTCCTTGGCTATGCAGTTACCTGGTAGCTTCCTAAGTGGTTGTCTAAGTGAAGCAGGTCTCAGAAATGCCACCAAAGCAGCCAGTTAATGCTAATGCAATAACATTACCTAGAGAATCGGCGAGAAGGGTGAGGGACGAGTCAGGGAAGAGCAGCAAAAGACTAACGGGAGGATGTCCTGGGGGAGATGTGACTTCCATGTGGCTGTGGTTGCAACTCCATGGTGGGATTCAGCAGCATCCTTGCACTGCCTGGTGCTAACATGGGAGCAAGATAGGTCAGAGAGCGACTGTGTGCCTTCTTCCGTCTTCGTTGCTGCTGGGCAGAGGGGACTGCGTGAATGGTAGCTCTCCTGGGTAAAGACAGGAGATGGGCAGGAAACCCCATCGAAGCCAGGAGAGCAAGGAGACCCTTGAAGGCAACAGGTTTTGAGGGGGTATAAGGTGTTAATGTTTACACAAGGATGTTTTCTAAAGTATCAAAATTTAAGGTTCTGTGCAAATGCCCGGTGGATGAAGGGGAGCATGCAATACATACAACAGGCTGCCTGCAAAAGCTCTGCAGTCCAGGTGATCTTGCTTCTATGATTCTGGTGTTTCATCCCATTCCCCTTCCATTGTCCTTCCTGTTCTTGCTTTTTTTTTCTTCTTAATAATAGCTAAATTACATGTACGGTAGAGTGGAGTTTTTCAGAAGCATCTGTGGGATTTGGAAGCACAAGTCCAATTGAAAATCAGTGGGCCTTGGGCCCTGAATCCCGTTAGGGAAATTGCAAGTAGTTTGATGAGCTAAAACTGGGACAGCAGCAGTACAGCCACTAGAGAGGTTGTATTCGTCGCTGCTCTGGGTTTTTGTGTTTTGTGTGATTTGAAGTGAAGAGCAGGGTTCTGCCACACCAGAGACAAAAACACTTTTCTGTTTGTGTTTTTTTTTTTCCAGGAGATGTGGCTATAGCAAGGCTAAACAAGATCCAGAAGAAGAAAAGATGCATTTTCATAACGGCCACAGTGAGTAAAGATTGAACATGTATATATGTGGCTTTGGCTCTCTGTGATAATGAGAAATACAAGTGTCAGGGTTGGTTTGGGTTTGGGGTTTTTTTTAAATTTCTGGGTTTGCTGGTAATTCACAGATGAATTCAGTTTGTTCTGTTATTCAGTGCCTGCCCCTGCTCTAAGCCCCATGGAGAACTGACCATTTGAAAAGTCCTTATATGTGCCAGCTATTTACACCTGTACCTTTGCAGCAGCCCTCTCTAGTGAGCCATTTTGTTCTGTTCCTCTGTCTTTGCTGTGTGACCCAAAGTGCTGTTAATTTTGCCTGGCCATAACAACTCTACGTTTGTGTGGTCTGGACACATCAATTGAGAATACCTGTTTGAAACCCTTGCTCCACCCCAGCCAGCGGTGAGGACCAGTCCCACAGCTACTCTTTGCCTTGGAGGCCTCTGCAGAGGCGTGAGGAATAACGCCTACTTATCGCTCTTAGGAGGCTTTCAGAAATGCTGTATTGACGCCCTTGTGTACGGAAAAACCTCTGTGGTGATGCTAGAAAGTACCTCTCATGGTTATTATCAGTCCTTCTGTACATCCAAAACCAGTGTTTGAAAAGCCTTCCTTCGTCAAGTGCTGTGGGATATCTGGGGATGGGTAACAGCAAGGTGCCTTTTGGGGTGGAAAAGGCAAACGCATCTTGAGTTGAAGTCAAATTTCCATTAGTGCTATGTAATGAAGGCAGCAGGAAGCAAATCAATTAAGAGCCACAGTGTAACGTAGCTGTCTTATTAGACTGATGAGCAGTTCTTCATGTGAGTAGCCTTAATGATTGTCAAAACAAACTTATAATATGGATAATGAAAATACTTTTTCCACTCTCGAGTCCTGGAGAAAAAGCCTGGTATTGATTTTATTTATACTGGTACAACCCACAGGCTTTGTACTGCAAATATTTCGTTCATTTAAATCTCAGTAACTCCATCTGAAATAATGTGGGTGTTTGATTAGCTAATATGTGACTGGTAGGGCGTAATTTATTGCAGCTCTCCATCAACCCCCATACATCCAACTTGCTTTGCAAGTTGTTCCCCTAACATTTTGCTTTTTGTATTTTCCTCCTGGTGTACCTTTTCCAGATCCAGATAGGGATCCTTTTGGACCAGACCTCAGACCATCCCATTATCCAGCACCGAGGGATTTTTAGCTGGGCGTTTAGCTGAGCACTATCTTGTGTTTTTCTAAATACGATGAAGTTGCATATACGTCACATATAAACTAAATGTCATTTTCCAAGAATGCTATTCATTTTTCCCATAGAAAGAGGTTTCCCTGCTGTAAAGTTTTCCAGCAAAGCAGCGTGCAAGGGACAGGACTGGGTATCGCCCATTGTCTGTCATGCCATGTGCCGGTAATGCTTTTAATTTGTGTTTGCAGTTAAGCTGCCTGGGGTAAGGACCTACATTGACCCACACACCTATGAGGACCCTAATCAAGCCGTCCACGAGTTTGCTAAGGAAATTGAAGCTTCATGCATAACCATTGAAAGAGTTATCGGAGCTGGTATGGAAATGCATTTCATGACCCTTAGCAGCATGGAGGGTTGGCTTTCTTAACACATGAGATCTGGGAAGGGCTGCGAAATATTTGTGCTGTTAGGTACCCTGCAAGTGATGGGGAGCACATTCCAGATGAAGTTTGAGGCAAACCTGTCTTTGCAGTTTTGAAATTCAGGAACTGAACTGAAAACAGCAGAAAATGGTCAACGTTTGGACCAAGCTGAGTTATTCCAACAGATACTAAGGGAAATAAGTCACTTAATTTTCAGGTTCTTTTCCTCATTTTAACCTTTTTCTCCTCCCCCATTATGGTCAGTCTTGAAGCAAAAATTAAGAATACGAAGTAATCTGGAAGAGAAAAAAAGCACAAGCCAAAGTCCAAAGCTTTTAACCTCCTTGGTTGAAAAAAGAAACTCCCATTTTCTTTCCAGTTAAGCTGGTTTTTTGGACTTGTGTCCACCCTTAGAAATATTTTCTCTGCTCTGAAATTGTGTTTTTAGAAGTAATTTACTGTTCACCAGAAAAAAAAGACCAAAAAATCCATTTGGGTTACTTTTTAAAAAAGGTGGTCATAAAATCAGAAAGGGTTTATAGTCTATAAAAATATATGTTGCTGTGAAAGGCTAACAGCATTCCATCTATTTAACTTAGCAAAGGAAGGTTAAGAAGCAAGTGGCTTGTGTTTTACAGCTATCTACAAAGGGAGATGATATAGGATGCGACAGGACTCTTTCATCTAGTAGACAAAAACATGAAATGAGGAAAAAGCACAATGGAATATAGAGCATAGCTCTTTAAATATAAGAAAATTACATTTTTCTTCCCAGTTTTCTTGTGCTTATGAATTACTTGGCTTGTGGTACACTGGCTATTTGAGGTGGTGATCACTGTGATGTTCAGCTTTCCACATCCATGAATGTGGGACAGCCCTATGTGCTTTTGATCACCTATTTATAGGGGCTGGGCTGCATGCTGTAGACAGACACATGCCATGTGTTCCTTCAACATGCTGTGGTCCTGTTCTTTCTGATTTTTCTCTGAAGGTGAATTTGGGGAAGTCTGCAGCGGGCGGCTGAAGCTGCAGGGAAAGCGTGAGTTTCCGGTGGCTATCAAAACCCTGAAGGTGGGATACACGGAGAAACAGAGGCGAGATTTCTTGGGAGAAGCAAGCATCATGGGGCAGTTCGACCACCCCAACATCATCCACCTGGAAGGCGTCGTCACAAAAAGTAGGTACAAGTTGCTGTGGACTGCTGTCCTCGAACTCCGGCTGACGGGACAGTTGGTTAGGGGAGGAAGATTGGGTTACTCACATTTTGACTGTGCCTTTCATAATTTCTCAAAAAATAGTGAACTCCTCTTGCCTGAAATGTCACACTTTGTAGGTGCAGCCAGGAACAGGTTCCCCAGCATTGTAAAGGGCGTTTGTGCCTGAAGGATTTCATCGTTCTTCCAGCTAGAATGGATAGATAATGGCTAAAATGATAAAAAACCGTTAACTCCATCTGCAAACCTTGCCTCACCTAGGCATAATATGCATAAGCTAAAAGAAAACCCCTCTTCAAAGGCCCAACATTAAATGAGACCGAAATAGGGGATGATCTGCCCAGCCAGCCTCAGGCAGTGGGTGGGTGATGGAGGCAGCAGTAAGCCTGGAATGTCTGTACGCCGGTGGAGTGTGCTGCCTGACTTGCCTTGCAAGCAGTTCAGCAGCACCTACTGCCTGCAAAATGCAAGAGCATTTTGAAAGCAGCAAGGCCAAGCCACCCGCTAAGTTTTTTGAGCAGCTTCTCTTCTTATTCCTGCCTTTATTTGTTTACTTTTGAAACCACATGAGCCTCAGGGTGAGCAAAGATGTGCCAAGAAGTGGAAAGCAATTTCCCTGGCAGGGAAATGGGGAGGATTTTGCTACCAAGAGTCAGAAAAAAAAACCACCCCAAACCACAACCCCTGATGATTTCCAGCTATCATATTTTAAGAAACCACTGAAGCAAAGCCCACAGAAGGGTAGTGCTGAGACTTGTACTCGCTCCCATGGGATGTGAGCAAGGGCAGAAAATTTAGCCAAAGTTTTGCTTTCCAGAAGCAGGGAAGAAGAACGGGAGTGTAGCTGAAGATGACAGGACTGTGTAAAACCACGATTAAGGCAAGGTCCCTCTGGGATCTGCTAGTGATGCTCGTGGTAATACTTGACCCTGGTGCTGGCCTATAGATTATGAGAGGAGTTGGGGGCTTGAGGAAAATGTGAAATGGCTGGCAAAACATCCCAGCATGAGACTTACTGAGGTCCGACTGCTCAGTTAGCAAAATAACCTTCCACAACTTTCCCAGACCAGTTCTTCTCCAAATTACTGTATGCAGTAAAGATAAGGGCAGAGGAAGGGACGGCACATCCTACTGTGCCCAGCCCAAGCCTCCCTGGCTGTTGGTGCTGTGCTGAGGCTGTGGGAATGGTGCAGAGGTGTTGTTACTCTTCCATTTTAAAGCCTTGGAGGATCTACATTATTTGTATCAGGGACTTTTATTGTTGAAAACAACTACTCATTTATTTTAAGATATATTTTAAGTGTTTCAGGACATTTTTGCTAGCTGAAGATGTGCCAGCCTCACAAGTGTGAATGGCTGTCTCCCCTCTTTTCTTCATGATTGGTAATGTCAGAGCTTAGCTACCACCATTCAAATGCCAGCATCTGTGGCTGTGTGGCTGCAGTCAGTACCATTTGTCATTCATCAGAGGCGGTGTCTCCAAAATTAGTTCTTTTTCAGGGCTGCATTAGGGAAGGTAAAGGGACGCTAGCTGTTTGTCCTGTTCATATCCTTACAAGCTACTCAAAATCAATGTTATTTGGCAATCAACAGCCTTTTCTTGCATTTTTCCTTGAAATTGCATTTCCTAAAACCTTTAAGAAAAGAAAAAAAATAATCAAGATAGGTTACTCCCCAAAATTGAATAAATATCAAAATGTCTCAGGGTCACCTTGTGTAGCTCTTAATACATAAAATCTCCTATTTCTGGCCCTGCAGGGATGTGGGATATGGGGCAGGAAGCGAGTGACGATTATACATTCATAAAAGCTGCTGCTGACACGGGCTTGAGTCTTTCTGGCTGCCGAGGCCTCAGGGGATGGGTGGGAATCCCACTTTTAGAGAGGATGTGCCTCCCTAGCGAGCTGTCTTTTATATAAAGTGGCTGCCTGCTCCAAAGGCCATGGAAACCCTGGGAGCTTTGCTTCTAAATTGGCCTTGGAGCGACTGGAGTTTGGATGCAGAGGGCTACATGCACCCTGAGCTCCTCATTAGCTTGGTAAATGCTTGTTTACTGCATTCAAAATTTTTTCAATTGGGCATCTGGAGCATCGTCCCAGCTTTTTTCTTTTCTTTTAAATGGACAAAAACAACCTTTATGAATCTCAAACTATGCTGCTATTTCAAAGTATTGTTTAACTTCTTTTTCCCTTTGGCGTTTTAGTCATTGTCCTATTGTAGATTCAGATCTTTAGGGTAAAACGTCTTTGCTGCATCATGATTTACTTTGGAAGTAAATTAAGTTAAATTGAATTAGTCCATTTTTAATTCTGAATGAGAATATCCACGCAGGGGCTTAATACCATTTAACTAATCTAGTTCAAATGCACACCTTAGTTAATTTGGATTAATCATCTTCATTGTCCTCGTGCCGACAAGCCCTTAGCTATTTCTGCTTTACAAAGGTAATGATGGTCCTGTTTTCATTCATATCCCGTTTGGTTGTGCTGACGGCGTGCACATTGCATTAGTATATTGATATGAATGACATCTACACACATTTTATGGCCCCGTAATGCCAGTGGGAGAGAGCCCTGCTGACACGGAGAATCATTCCAGTGCTTTAGAAGGGACAATGTTTACTTTTAATTCATTTTGTTGAAAGTTACTCTATTTGTGTCTTTATTTCCATGCTCTTGGATATGGTGCTAATTTATTCCACAATTACTGTCAACCTGCAGCAGTCAGATAATGAAACATAAGTGCCAGAAATGTTATTTTCTTTTCTCTGATGGCAACTAAAGGCAGGAGTCTGAGCGAGGTCTCCCAGGGTGGTGGCATAACGAGACGCCAGTCTTGCTGCAACGCTGCCTTGAAGCATCAGAGATAAGGGACCCCATGCTACAGGTGGAGGTTTAGTGTTTAAAAACAAAAAATTTACGATAAAATGTAGATATACCTGGGATTTTCCTTCGCTGCATAGCCACTGATGTGTTTGCCAACCTGTAGCAATGTCACCTGAGGTCTCTCCTCCCTCCTGCATACAGCCCATGTTGCGTGTAGACAGAACGGCTGTCATCCTTGAAGACAGGGCCCGTTATTTTGTTTGGGACTCAATGATATTTTTTTATGGCCTTGAGGTGCATTTCTCATATCAAAAGTAATACTCTTGGCAAGCTTTGAGCTCAGGCAGGATCTGTGATACTAGCTTTAAAGAATTGAAGCAGTGCATGTCCCTCACGCTGCAAAGGTAGTGTCTGCACAACAATGAGTGTTGTGATTGACAAGTTCACAATTACCTTTATTATGTAGATAATTAAGCAGTAAATTAGGCAAATAGTTAAGGTAACAGGAAAGTGGGAAGATTAAGATCAATCTAAATGGTAGAACATGCGCTGATTTTTAGGAGCATTTACCTTCATGTGCGTGTTATGACACACGGCAGCTCTCGTTGATCATTTCTATGAAAGACATTTATAATGCACTTTACAAATAATTGGCAGCTCCTCTTTTGTCTGTGCTTCATGCTAGCTAATGGAAATTGATTTAAATAAAAAATAATTTACATGTTCTTATAAGATTTCATTGAATTTACAAGAGCTGGAGCACACCACATTAATTATTGCTATGTCATTGTGGCAAGCTAGCGAGAAATTAGATATAAAAACTGAGCAAAAACTATATATAATTACCATTAAAATGACTCGGGCATGAAAATTAATCAAATGGATTTGGAAAAACATTATTATTCCTGTCAACAATAGGAGACCAGGTCTTTTGTTAAGAACTTTTATTTTGATTTCCACTCGCACTCATTGCATACTTAACTCACTTCTGTTCTGCAGCATAAATATTCCTTTTCTTTTACTTCCAGATGAGTTTACAAGGGTAGTCACATGGGGTTCCTTGAATTACAAGGGATGTAATCCCATCCTTTCCTGGTCTTGGTTTTGGTGGCTACCAAGCTCAGATAGATACTTCAGATCAACCTGGTTGCTCCTGTTGGGCTCCTGTTACTTCAGGGTGTTGAAGCCTTACGGAAGAGTCCAAAGAGGTTGCTGTGTGCCATTTGGCCTCTGCAAGCTTTCAGCTTGTTCATGGAGATGAGGAGAAGGTTGTGCATAGGTTGCTTGGGTTCAGCTTGCAACCTCTTCCTCAAACATCTTCTGAACACTCCAGGGCTTGGTACCCCACCCATAATACAGGATTACTTTTTCATGTCCTCCTCCTCAATTCCGCTATTTCTACATATATTCTGGCAAAAACTGTTGTCATCCTGCTGGGACAGCAGTGTCTCAGTGTAGATTTACTGTTGTATGGCTGTATATTCACATTCAGACATGTTATGAAAATACTTTATTATTGTTCATGTTATTTAAACAAATTGCTACCAAACTCGTGCACTTTTTTTTCCAGGCAAACCAGTAATGATAGTGACTGAGTACATGGAGAATGGTTCTCTGGATACATTTTTAAAGGTAATACTTAGATCCTTTTTCCAGGGGGACCTTGGTTAAGGTTTAGGTTCTTTGCAGATGGTTAATATCAATGAAAATGTTTGCTGGGTGCTGGTCCAGCTGTCAATGCTGGCTGGAGGCAGGAGTAGCTCAGTTGTCTGTTTTATCTATATTTATACAGCGTCGTGAAGGACCTGGTTCGTGCCTTGATACAAACAGATAAGAATAAATTGGAGGATGTAATGTTTATTTTAGAAGGCAGTGTGCTGCATGGAAATGATTAACTTATCCTGCAAAATTTGATGTGTTTCTAGAGCAGACCCACACTGCATCATGGCAAACCCCAAACTTGAAAAACTAGAGTTTTTCTGTGAAACGTAAGAGTTAGAGAAGGGAGGATAGGGAAATTGATTGGAAATGTAGTGTGGCAACATAGGGAAGCGCCCCAACCCCCAAATATTCACATGGGGATCTCTGCAGGTAGGATTTCCATGCAACTTGGTGCCTTTCAGTTGGCTGACTCAGAGACAGCCCACCCCAGTGCCTTTATACACATAACAACATGTGTTCACTCCCAGTCGCAGTGTCTTTATCAGTCACCAGTGGAAATAGCTCGCTCCTTGATCTCCAGTTAAAAGAACTACATTTCCTTAGCTTTGTCTCTAGAGATCCTAATCCAAACAGTGAAACTTTGAAAAGCTTTGTGGTCAGAGCATGAGAGTAATGAATTATTAATTTCCCTGTTTTTCTTCCCTGGAGACTTGCCTTTGCATTTTTATTCATGCACGTGCAATGCTGAGGGTGCAGAGACTCTCAACTGATCAAATGTCTCCTTCCTTTTGCAGAAGAATGATGGGCAGTTCACGGTCATTCAGCTGGTTGGGATGCTGCGAGGCATCGCGTCAGGAATGAAGTACCTGTCTGACATGGGTTACGTACACAGAGATCTGGCTGCCAGGAATATCCTAATCAACAGCAACTTAGTCTGCAAAGTGTCAGACTTCGGCCTCTCCAGAGTCCTAGAAGATGACCCTGAAGCAGCATACACTACCAGGGTGAGTTATGAGGATACCAAACTGATTGAGCTCAAGAAAAATGTATTCCCAGCCACATTGGTGTGCAGGATCTCTAGCAAAGAGGTTTCTACAAATCCAGAGCCTCTAAACTGTTCATGAGGGTTTGGCCAGGTGTTACCAGTTAATTGTTATCAGATTAATTTTGCAAATGCCTGCAACTTTGTAGTGGGGATGGCCAAATAAGCCAGAACTTAACTAATGACTTTTAAGCTCATGTTGGGCACCTGAGTCAAATGGCAAACTTTACAAAGGTGACATGGTCTCAGTGCTATTCTGTCCTCTTTGGTGAATACCAAAGGGAGGAAAGAGCAAGAGCAAGTGCTTTGCTTAGGCACCCATGCAGAGATGTAAGGCATCGTCTGGACAATTTGACGCTTTTAAAACATTAGTAATCATGTAATGTCTATTGCAAATGGCTCACGCTGCCCTCAACATTACAAATTTCCCCCGACCTAAGGAAGAGCTCCTCCAGCCTCAGCACTCTGCCCCTTTCCATCGTTGATCCATCCTTTCAGGGCAGCAGCCCACCCATCCCAGTGCGAGGCCATGTGGCCCTAGCACTGCGGAGAGGGGGTGGACAGGACCTATCCTCCGCGGCACAGGCTGGGAGAGAACCTCCAGTATTCATGGCAGTGATTGGCACACTTGGACGTGTCCTGTTAGCGTGTTTTTCCAAGGGTATTGTTTTACGAGTGGTGGGAGCTCTCTGGGTCGCGTTCCCAGTTCCCGTGGAGATCTGGGAAAGGCCTTTCAGCTCTTGGCAGTCACGGCACCACAACGGGGCTCAGTGCACGGCTGGACCGGAGCCTCCCTGCAGGCTGGAGGGCTCTCGGCCAGCCCTGCTGTGGCTGCAATGTGCTGCCATGTGCTAATTGGCACTGCTGAGAATCTGGCCCCTCACTTAAGGCATGCGCTGATAAGCCTGTGAATAAATAATTATTGGAAGAAGGGACCTTTTCAAATTTGCTTTGAAAATGTGTTCCAAATTCTACCTTTTTCCAATAACAAATGCTGTTAGGGGGCATTCAAGGAGACCTTCCAATATTTAGCTCAACACTGAGAGGAAGGGACTTCACAGTAAAATCTATTTTGATACAAATCAAGAGAGACAACTCTTTAAACCCAATGAGAAAAGTATTCCTTAATCCAAACTCCCCTTCCCCTCCCCTCTTGCTTCTCAGAGCTGGTCTGAAGTTTGATTTCTAAAATGGTAGAAAGGGGAAAAGGAAACAGCAAAGCGCATTTGACAGCTGTGGCATCATTTTCAGTCCCACAGCAGAGGCCAAGCAGGCTGGTCTTTACACACGCGGATTTCTGTGCCCGCTACACAGATCTCTCTGCAGGATCAGGATCGCATTAAAAAAAAAAAAAAAAAAAAAAAAGAAAGAAAGAAAAAAGGGGCATTACTTCCGCAGCAATTTGCATGAAGCCCTCATTAGATCAAAGTCTTCCTCGGCTTCAGAGCTGTCTGTTCCTCCCCCGCTTGCTCTCAGAAACGGAGGAACTGTATTCCCCTACCAACCCGTGCAACATAATTGAGATGTTGATCCTATACATGTCCCAGCATTCAAACAGCATTCAAACAACAAACCTTCAGGACAGCCAATTAGTAGGCAGCCTACAAATGCTTATGGGCTGAGATAATGTGGAAAGGGGCCCCATGCTGTCAAACAGATTTACTTTAAAATTCGATGTCTCTTTCCAGAGAGAAAATAACATCCCTCAGTGCTCTAAGAAGTGCTGTTTCGTCCTCTTTTGCATGTACTCTGCCGTCCTCTGCAATCTGGTTTTGGGATTTTTTTTTCCTTTTCCTTCTAGGGAGGGAAGATCCCCATCCGATGGACAGCACCCGAAGCGATTGCCTTCCGCAAATTCACATCGGCCAGTGACGTCTGGAGCTACGGCATTGTGATGTGGGAGGTGATGTCCTACGGCGAGAGGCCTTACTGGGAAATGACAAACCAAGATGTAAGCATGTGCAAGAGCTGCCGTGTGTTGGGACTTGGAGGGCTTGGCCTTCATTCTGCCATCAGAGAGTCAGGACTGGGACGAGAGGAGGAGAGCCGCTGTAAAAATGGCATTGCCTCCCCCATGCCAGACAAAAACGGTCCTGCCGTTTGATGCTCTGTTTTTTGCAGCAGCAGCCCAGAACAGGCTGTGCGCAGAGGGAAATGTGTCTGCACAGAGGCAAGCCTGCTTCCCCCAGCAGACCGCTGGAGCTTCACTAATGCTGTTAGAGCTGAAGCCTGTCCCTCCTCTACTTAATGACAAAGGTCTGCCAGGGGATAGATGGCGATAAACTGGCAGCATTTCAATTGCGTGTTCAAACCCCTGCTGCCACGTAAAGCAGAAGCTCAAGGGAGTCACGTTAAGGGCTTTGTTTCCCTGCACAAAAGCTGGGTGATTTGATCTAGCGACAGCAGTCCAGAGAGCTGGGTTTCTGTTGCCCTTGCATTGCTGATCTTGAGAGCATAGTTTTGCTCCTCCTGTGAACATCTTGTAAGTCTGTGCTAACGCAAGCTCTCGTAGTTTGTTTCTACAGCACCCTTCGAGTTGTGTCCCCTTGCTCCGGGGCCCCAGTGCCCCCTTGAGCCTCTGACCTCAAGGGCGCCCTCTGACGCATCTCCAAATGGGGACATGCTTGGGGATACTGTCACCCTCCTGACTGCAGTTCTGATCCCAGCCTGTGTAAGGATCTCTTGATCCTACTGCAGGGCTACCTCCTGCCCTGAGCTGTCCATAAACATCTGTCCATGTCTAAAACTAAAAAAAATTAAGCCTGGGGTTGCCAGATTTTCCAGGCCCCTCCTTCCTCTTCACATCTCTGAGAACTGTGATGTGTGGATGTCTCTTGAGGATGCCCGCTAGTGCATGAGGTTGGGGTCACCATGAGACACATGGGGACCCCAAAGCAGCTCTGCAATGGAGGAAAAACACACTGCTCTACATGTGGCAAACTGAGTGATTCCTTATCCCTCCCACTTCATCTCTGCAGCCCTGCTGCCTGTGGAGGTGATGCTGCCGGCTGGGCAAAGCAAGCAGGTCCTTGTGCCTCCATGGGATTCCTCTGGTCACAGCACCTGATGTTTCATCCTTTTTTGGTTTTTTGAGCAATGTCCCTCTCCCCCTGACTTTCTACCATTTTGCTGGCAGCAAAGGCTCTGGCTGAGCCTTCTGTTTCTCCTGTGTTTTGTCTGCGGGCCTTTGCCATCAGTGGATGTTACTACCTGTCACGCCGTGCTGCTGTCTTCTCTTGCTTTGAGTCCAGGCCTGGAAACAAGCGGTGCCTTTGAGACAGTCACACCATGCTTCTTGCCAGGGAGATGAGCCCGTTGTTTGGCATGAATGCCCCACCGCTTCTGCATTGCTGAGGCTGTCACGTTTGCAGGGAGTTTGGTAAAGCAGCATGATCTACTCAGGGATTTATCTCGATCAGATACAGAGACTTTCTTCCATAGCTTGTGCAGAGAATGCAGCAATTGAGAGCCAAGCTTTTTTGGTCACACTGAGCACTGTAACTATCTTTAATGCTGATGCACTGGCATAGCACAGATGTTGTTCAGTCAATGCGAGGCGAAGATTCAGGCTGGTGCCAATGAAATAATGCTCTGTGGCCAGGGGAGTCCCTTGTCTGGATCGTAACACTGTGAACATCTACACTTTGCAGAACTGTTCCAAAAAGCCCACATGCCTCCATGCACTGTGGGGCACGGGGCGAATGTCACACTTGCCTGAGAAGCAGATGGGTGACTGGTTTTGTTAGCAGCAGAAAGCAGAGGACTGGTGATATGTTTATGAGCATCAGTTCCTGCTCAGGCTTTGCTTGGGTTACCTCTTGCCTATGTGCAGGTGGCAAGCGCCTGGATGGTGGTAGCCTAGGAAACTTCATTCAGTGCTGTGGCATGTTTCTCATGTGATTTATGCCATCCTACTTCAACTTCTGAAGGCCTCCTCTTCTTCTTTCCTCCCCTGCTTGTGTTGGTAGAAGACTCAGTGGTGGTAGATACAGCATTAGCTTTCACGCGGAGGACTGGGGATTCCGCTCCATGAGTTCTCCATGCATTTTGGACTCTGTTGCACAGGAGTTTCTTGTTTCATGGCTTGTTATTAAAGCATGTTGTTTGCAAGCACAGTTGGTGATGAGCAAAACAATTCTCACCATGTTACAGCTGGATTGCTTTAAAGGAGGTGGTGCAGTGCCGCAGGGCAGGCACCATTGTAACTGCAAAGGCTACAAACCACGTTTTAAAGTCATTCTGGTTTCTGGATGGCCTTCTAAAAATATGCTTTGACTCAACCACAAGATAAGGCTTTGATTCAGGAATTGTCAAGAGGAATTTTGTGGCCTGCGTTGCACAGGTTGCTAAGCTAAATGATCACAGTGGTTGCTTTTAAGTCTTCAGACTGGTGGTTTTATGAAAACAGAGAGCTAAAAGTGTTGCTTTGGTTTACTGGAATAGACTGTCCAAAATAGTCCTCTCCCAAACATCCAGTTCAGTCACCCCAATCCATAAGTGAGTAGTGCTTGTCCAGAAGAGGAACAGGGACAAAAATGCCTCCTTATAGATACAAATTTTAGCTCTTCAACTAAGCAGTACGCACCGGTGAATGGAACAGCAAATGTGCTGGTTTTTTTATTTTCTAAGTATTGTGGTGGCTACAAGCGACTCAATCTTTGTTGTTTCATTCTTTTGCTCCTCTTATTGCCAGACCCCCAAGGCACCTTCAGATGCAAGGGTGTATTTTATCATCCTAGCTCCTTGCAGTATTTTGATACCATTTACATTGTATCACCAGAACGAACGACATCCTGTAAATTGAGTTAACGCTATTGATTGTGATGTTACTGCCAGGAATATCAAACACACATAACCCCACTGCAGATGTAGTTCAGATATTCTGAGCTGGTGCCAGATGGTCTGCTCCCCGTCTTGCTACTATTTTCTTTCTGCTACAGCTGGAGGATGATCCGTTATTGTTATAAATACAGGCATGGACACAGCAAATAACGTTCTTGCGGCTGTGCAACACCAAGGCTTTCTTTCATAGGGCAGCTGCAAATTTGGTATCAGGGACCAGCTGAAAAGCATGATGTGAAGAAAAGACAGCGCAGGTAGCACGGTGTGGTGGGGCTGGTTTTTGATGCTGTGAGCGAAAGCCAGGCTGTAGAAAAGATTGCTTTGCAAGCGCAGCTTGGGTAGAGAGCGGTGCAACTGCTCCACCGACAGATGAAATCTAAGAGATGGGCACCAAAGGACTGTAGGTCTTGTGGGCCAGATCTTCAGGCGTGCTCGCTTCCCTTGGAGAAGATTACAAAGCCTTGCCTAACTTCTTCTCTACTACGTGCATCCTTAGGGAGTTTGAGGTTTCTGCTACTGCTGCTCAGCCAGCCCGGCTCATTCCTGGGACTCTTCCACTTGGCAAAAAGCCCTGTGGTGGAGAACAACTTGAAAGTGATCCATGCGGTCCTGAATTTCGGAGCCTTCTGAAATACAATGCCAGCCTGATGCAGCTCTTCCTGTACTGATCGCATAGGGACTAAAGATCAAGAAAACAACTTCCATGCTAACCACAGAGCCTTCTTTTTAAACACAGGATGTTTTCAAGTCATGAGACGGTGCCTAGAATGAATGGCATCCAAGGCAGTCCTTGGAGTCCAACAGTGAAGCGCTGTGGTTTTTCTACATAGTAAACAGCCGCTTCCAGCTCCTTTTGGTCAAGGAGTCTTGGGAGTAGAGTGTGTGAAGATGGGCCGCTGGGACTCTCTTGGCATGGTCACAGACCCTCGTGGCTTGAAACACGATCTGTGTTCTCCTGAAAATTGTAATGGATCAAAATGGGAACTGCTGGGCTTGGAGCCCCGCTGTAAATCTGCCCCAAGCTGGGGAAAACAAGTTGCTTTCTTCAATTCTGCCCTCATTTATTCATTTCTGCCTTTCAAAAGGACAGGCAGCACATGTGCATGCCACTTGTTTTAGATATAGAACCATAGATGGTTTGTATTTGAAATCAGTGCAATAGCCGTCCGCTGGTTTTAATTTACATACTCTTGGGCTGACATTTTAAATTCCTGGCAGAAATGTGGCCACACTAACAAACGACTAGACCCAGACAGTATTGAATGATATATGAGATGGTTGTTCTGCCTCTGCCTTGGATCCATCCATCAATTAGCATTCAAAGTCTCTTTTGAAACACAGTCAGACTTATATTACTGTAATACAAATTTGTGGTCTAGCACACGCCTTTTCATTTAAAAAGAAGCCAACATCTGAATAAACAAAATCACTACACTCCAAGAAGATGCCAGAAAGCCCCGTAGGCTGCTTTTCAGGGACTTAGGTTAGGCTCCGGGAGTTTCCTCGTATATAACCTACAGACCTCAGCTGAGCTTTGAACAAGTGCAACCTGGCAGTCTGGCCCCCTGGTTGCAGCAGCGCTTTGGCTTTCTAGATTCATTTTACAGTGACCAAAAATTAAGTTATTCAACCTTCCCCATAGAAAATATGGAAGATAGTGGGGTTTACTGGGTTTGCCTTTTGTGTGCAGAGGCAGTAGGATTTTACGTGAGCATATTACTGGTCCCAAAGTTCTCTGTTGAAGTCAATTTGCATTTGGGAAAAAGGTGAGAGGAAAAAAAGCAACCCATCAGCCTCGTGTTTTGTCTCCCGTAGGTGATTAAAGCCGTGGAGGAAGGCTATCGCCTGCCAAGTCCCATGGACTGCCCTGCTGCTCTCTACCAGCTAATGCTCGACTGCTGGCAGAAAGACCGCAACAGCAGGCCCAAGTTTGACGAAATTGTCAGCATGTTGGACAAGCTCATCCGTAACCCAAGCAGCTTGAAGACGTTGGTTAATGCATCGAGCAGGTATGAACTCGGGCCAGAGCCATTTCTCAGAGCGAGATCCTTGTCTGAATACCTGCCCCTGGGGTTGAATTACCACTTATTATTTAGCCTGCGTGCGTCCGTGGGTGGATGTTCCTCCAGCTTCATTATGTCCAGGGGAGTTTTCCCAAATCAACTTTTTCTGTTGAAATTGGCAGGCAGGTGAGCAATTCAGTTACTCTATAAATGCAGTGCTGCTGCCACAAAGAAAATTACCATGGCCTGTCTTTTAGAAATGGGAGTTTCAGCGGTATTTATAGGTCTATGATAAAGCTGCCTGTGCTCTACCCTCAAGGTTAGAGAGGGCAAGACTTGAGTGCATGAAGTAGATAGTAAATGCTGCTCAAATTATGTGCCTGTTGACTTTATCTTGGTAATACAAATGAAGAGCATCTCTTGGGGAAACGCTTAGGATGTGCAAAGCTCATGGATGTCCAAGTGCATCCTCCCACAACTCTTCCCAGGTGTGCTAGCCACCACTGCCAGTTCTGACAGTCTTGGTAATCGCGAGAGGATCTCTGTGGTTCCCAAAGAGCTGTACACAAACCGTTTGCTAAAACCACATTAAGTGAATAGAGCAGCTGGTGTGCAATTAAACATAAATCTGAATAGCTACATGGCTACAAGTAAGGTAAATACAGTCAAGAAATAAAGCTGCACTTGGGGAAAGAGAGATTAATATTTTTTAGTGAGTGTTAGTATTGGGGTCTCCACCATACTGGAGAGGCTTTTTCTTTTTTCAATGTAAGCACACAGGTATTACTTCTAAGCCATCTCTGTTGCTAATCACTTGGTCCCTTGCAAGGCCATGAAGGAGTGATGAATATAAATCATCGCTGCTTCACTGATGGCAGTGGAGTTCCCCTGATTGACACTGGAAGAGGCCCTTCAGAAAAGCTTATTCTCAGAGGAGGAAAAAAAAGACACGTCATTTTCCTTAGACAGGAATGAGAGGGATGTAAGATGAGGCTAGACTGGTGGTGTGGACCAAAGCAGATGTACTGTTGTGAGCTTAGACCCATCCATCATCTCCACACCTTCCAAGTGAGTCTTGCACAGCTGCATGTGGCCCATCTTGCCTGTTGCAGCTGGACCTCACATCCCCATGCTGGCATGCCCGCATGCATGGCATCTCAAGCACTGGAAGAGAAGAAACATGAAATCTCTGTTGATTTTTAAATACAAGATAGATCTGATTCCTCGGCCTGTTTTACATACATCATTTACCATCTGAAGAAGAAATTACTCTTATTAGCAACTAGATGTAATATCAGTCCCAGCAAACCTGCAGGAAAAGGTTTATGATAGCATAAAATACGTGATGTTTCTCTTTTTATTTTCAGTTCAGAACAGTCATTTTCCAGGCCTGTTATGTGGTGGTTCATGCACTGTTTTATACCAAACTGTTATGCTGGAAAAGAGGAAAATAGGCAGCAAACCATTTCCTTGAGCTGCTAAGCACTTTGCTGATGTTTTATTCCATGAACAGGTCCATGCAATTCTAAACCTCTCCTTTTCAGAGCTGCTGTGGGTATTTTTGATGTGGATGGGGCACCTGAGCAGCCAGGCTTTGGGACTGTGTTTCTATAACCATAGATTGCCCTTCCCAGACCATAGTAATTCCAAATGAATCATAATTTCAACATACAGCAGCTGTAAAGAATTTTTTTATATATGTAATGTATTCTTTATGGAAATTCTCATTAATGCAAATAAGGGAGGAAGTCACTCTCTACATTACAGCGTGTGCATATCAGTAGGTACCTCCTGACATTAGTGATGAAAATCCACTTCTCGTTATGATTACTTAGGAGTTTTGAATTCCTCATGTGTATAAAATGTTATGGGAAGCCATTATGTTCTTGGTACTGCAAGTATTCACGTTTTATTGGACCCTTCAGCATTGCTATTAAATAAACAAATAATACTAATGTGCTCATAAAATATATGAAGATTCCTGAAGTGCTATAATAATGTAATATCCCAGCTCTCATTCCAGTTGAAAGTCTTTTAAGTGTAATTCTCACCATCAGAGGCTGACCCAGAAAGCATCTTTTTTACCTGTGGGTAATAAGCTTCATGCAAGGCTTATGTTAGCTGTATGTCCTGGTTTACAAAGCAGGGGACAAATCTAGTTTCTCTCCTGGTCTCTCTGACCTTGAACAAGCCCCCTTTGCTCTCTGTGCATCATTAGTAGGGTGGTGGACCTGTAACGCGGCACGGGTCGCTTATGCCAGGCACTGTGTTGGTGTTTCTGCTGTGGTGAAGGGTTTTTTTTTTTTATTATTTGCCTGAATTGCTTCTTCCGTGCGTGGCATAACCGAGCAGGTAGCAACTGCTGTGGCAAGGTCTCGAGCGAGGGTGCTGGAGCAGGAGCCTACCTCTGGTTTCAGGGCTGGAGCGTGGTTGGAGCATTGCTGCTCTCTGCAGGGCTCCCCAGATGCTGCCCAGATCCAAAATCCCCACCTGACTCTGCGGGAGCAGCCCCTGAAGTGTTAACAGCAGCCTGCCATTGATGGCCACTGCTGGGAAATGTAATCTGCGTTTTGGCTTTCAGGCTCTGGGCTGTCTTAAGTTAATTATGAGCTTTAAAGGAGGAGGAGGAGGAAAACAGAGCGGGAGGAGTGAAACCAAAGACTTTGAAGTAAGAGTGACTGGGGGAGCCTGATAGAAGAGGAGCCTGCTTGTGGGCAAGAGGTAACCGGGATGGACGCTAGTCCTCTCCTCCTCTATCTGCTTGCAGTGAGGAGCAGAAATGGCAGGAATGAACTCAAAAGTGGGTGAAGTTACAGGTGAAGTGGTATGTTTGATCCATTGTGTATCAAGCCTGCTGGGAGGATTTAGGCTGCAGCAATCACTGAAAAAGCAATGAAAGAATCATCTTTACCATATAAATATGTGAGCAGATGAGTCATGTTAGGTACATCTTGATGCTGATTCTGTTTGCTTTTCTGTTTTTGCTTGTCTTTAGAGTATCAAATCTGTTGGTAGAGCACAGTCCAGTCGGGAGCGGTGCCTACAGGTCGGTGGGTGAGTGGCTGGAAGCCATCAAAATGGGCCGATACACCGAGATCTTCATGGAGAACGGATACAGTTCAATGGACGCTGTGGCTCAGGTGACCCTAGAGTGAGTAGTGCTCAGATCGTTTTCACCTCATGTGTTGGAATTGCAGAGGGGGGGGGAGACAAACGACTCAAAATATGTAGGGATGAGGCTGCAGGAAGGGAAACCATTACCCTTTCTTTGCAGTCAGCAGTTTCTCTTTTAGCATCTGTAGTGATGATGACAAGTGCAGGCAAAACTAAAACTTGCGGTCACTACACTGGCAACTGGTATTTTGGCTCCTTTACTCACAGAAATTAATGCTTGAATGTGAATAATTGCCAGACCGTCCTCTCCACACAACAGCAGTTGATTATTTGGGGTTACTGACAAATAAAAAACCCCACCCTACTAGTAAATGTATAGGAGCTAGGGTCCTCACTGAGGTATTCCTTCCAATTCTCTCCCCCATCCCACCACGGGGGGTGAGCAAGCGGCTGTGTGGTGCTTAGTTGCCGGCTGGGGTTAAACCACAACAGGTACACTGGCTTTACACCTGGTTAGCTGGTTTCATAACCAAGTGGACAGTCAAGCCCAGTAAGGCGAGGAAATAGTATTCAACATTAACAGAAATAAGCATAGATAGAGGTGATGCCAACAGAAGAGAATCAGCAAACCCACAGCTCTAGGAGACAGGCTCCCCGGCCAAGATTCCTCCTTCTGAATGTGCCCTTGGTTTTGCATGTGGATATGACTGCAGTCGGGATGACAGCACTCAAATGACTTGGTAAATGCCTCAGGGCTGCTGATTTGTTATGCTTCACCTTTAATTGCCTGCCTTGCTTGTGTTTACGTCTTTCCTCCTGCTGCTTACTCGAACTCGCCCCAAAGCCTGCCTTTCTAGCTGGGTTAATTTGAGCTTAGTTTACTGCAGGCGTCAAGGCAAAATGGGAAGGATTATGCTCCATGCTGCTTTGGAGACGGTCATGGCTCTTCCAACCACATGCAGACTGCCAGTGCACATACAGAATTGGCGCCCAGGAGTAGGAATAAAAGAAGAAAAATCGCCCCACCCCCCAGAACTGCAGCATGTCTCCTGTTTGCCACAGGGCTTGCTGCGGAGCTCACCGTACAGGGTAGGAGATCCTTTGCATGTGATGCAGGTCAGTAACATGGAGGGAGTGCAGGAGCGTATCTGCTCTCACTCAGATTTTATTTGCCTCACTCACATCACCAATATTTGTCCTTTACACCTGGACTCATCCAGTCCTTCAGGCATTCACATGAAAACCCTGAGCTAGGGATTAAATCCTCTCTAGCGACTGTCTATCGAGTCAGGGTGCATGGATTTCTACCTAGATCCCTTTTTGGGTACCTGAGACTCTTACATGCGGTTTCCCAGCCTAGTCCTGCAATTAGGTGCCATGTTACTTTGGCTTTTGAGGACTCCACAGTTCCTTGCCTACTCATGCCCAGAAACACCAGACTTTGGGGCTCCATTTAGACTGGTGATCTACAAACATTGACCGTGAAAGACGTCCATCTCCAGGGTGGTCAGAGTCCACACAGCAGAAAGACCTAGCCAGAGGGCAAGTGGGAAGAGAACAGATGGGATGAGGCAGTGATCTAAGAGAAAAGGAAAATGTTGGAGCATTCCCCTCTACTGTGCCACCTCAATCTTATAACCAGAGCAGGTTCTGGATGCAGGAAATGCAGATTGTCTAAAATATATCTCAGACTTGTTGCTGTTTGGCTGAATTAGTCATATTAAAGAAGAAAATTTGGTTTCACAAAAGGTTCCTGTTTGTTCCTCTTTAGAATTTTACGCAATTTCAAGAGTTCTAAAAGAAATGCTCAGGAGTGAAAGGCTTTGATTTGGGTCAAAGAAAGTGTGGATTTTGAGCCCAAATTAATGGTCATTTTTGGCAGTAAATTAGGAGTTAGCTTTAAACAGTCTTAGCATCCCATCCCACTGACAAAACTGTTCCTAACCTTCCGTTTTCCTGAGTGAAACATTTCAGGTTGTGAAATTATTTCCTTAATTTGACTTTAAATACTTCCCTACAGTTAATCTTTGCTATTGCAGAAATTTCAAAAATATCCCCCAAAATCTTTCCAAGCTACCCAAAAAGTACTTCAAAACAGTTTTTCCAATGTGCAGTGAACCAAGAAATCCCTTATCTGTACAATTCTAGCCAGAAAGACAAGTTGGTTTAAAAGTCTTTAAATAAGGTTATAGCTGCCAGAGATGCTCTGACCCTCACCAGCTGCAAACCGCCTCTAATGCCCCCTCCCATCAGGTCCCAGTGTGCTCCCTATAGCACAAATGTCATCCTGCTCTGGTCCTTTACTGGCCCCAGTGAGGACGATGTCTAAGCTGCTCAGCTTCAGCTTTCTTCTGGGCTTTTACAGCAGCAGAGCAATGCAGAGGAGCTGATGCCTGAAGCCTGGGGAGCTTCTGGGTTTGTTTTTTTGGTTGTTTTTTTTTAAGCTGAAAGGAAACGTTTCATGAATCCATCTTGCATTTCAGTTGAAACTGAAAAAAGGTTGAAACTAACTCCAACTAGTGAGTTATCCATGCCAGCAAATAAATTCCCCCCCAGCTGCCTTGGACAGAGATGCCTGCACGAGCCAGGCTTGGTTCTCGAACAGCTCAGCCTGTGCACCTTTGCGTTGCTTAGCAAGAAGGCTTGTCCCCACTCGGGTCTATTTTTGGGAAAACTGTGGAAGGTTTATTAAAAAGCCAACCAGCCATCCAAATCAAGACTTCTCTTATCCATCTCAGATATAGTAAAAAAAGACAAAAGACCATATTCTCAGCTGTTAAAAAAGGAGAAACCATCATAGTGGCTTAAGAGGAGACGTGTACTGTGTTGAAGACCTGAACCATGTGCTCAGGCTGATGTAAACTGGCAGATTGCCCTTAAAATCAACAAAGTAAGGGAGAGAAATGGCTCCTGGGTGGGCTCAGCTGAGACTCTCATGGGTTCTTCAGAGAATAAAAACCAGAACAAGCAAAGTTCTTTAAAGGTTAATATACTGGGGTTTTGGTTTTCTGGAGGTTTTCATTTTTTTCTTTACGTAAAAGGGAACAACAAAACATTTTGTACTCTGCAAAGGAGAATTCAGGTTAAATGTTCCTTGTCATTTTTAATAGAGGCAACTGTTCAGTATATTCCAGAGCTGGGACTTGGGGGGATCGGGTGAAAAGATGATCTGAACATCTGAAAGTAGCTTGCTTTCCCCAAATGACATCAGTGAAACATTCTTTACAATTTAAGAGGTTGCCTTCAAATACCATCCAAAATGATCTTCCCCAAATTTAAACTGCGTAGGAGACAGATGTGGAAATTAGATGGAGAAAGGAGAACTGGATAATCACTGCCAGAAAAGGCAGAAAAAAAATATGATGAATGTAAAGAAATCCTAAAATCTACTGAAAGAAAAATTACTAGTGCTGTAGGAGGGGTTGGCCATAACGCTGATGGGACTGGTGACTGTGGGTGCCTGGCTTGTGGCCTCTTTACAGGACCTGGTTGAGATGGTGCATGTTCGGCATTTTTTTTTAAATCCCCCCCCAGCATGCAAAGCAAGATCTCGATTACTGCCCTGCTTCTTTCAGACTGATGGCTTGATACATTTATTCCAGAAAAGAGTAGTATTAGTGACAAATTAAAAAGCCAAAACCGGTGAATATCGCCCCAAGTCCTGAGCTCTGCCTGCTTAAGCAAAGACCTGAAAATGTATGTGTTCAAACAAAGAGTGATTTCTACATTTAGCTCTAATTCTTGCAAAGGGACGAATCACCTTGTGAAAAGTGGAGCCTCACCCTCCACCCCCTCTTTCCAACTGGATATCAGACTTGAAGGCAACCTTTCCAGTGGACCAGACCTGCTCTTTAAACTTGTGGACCACCTAGTGACTTTGAGTGTGTCTGGAGCTCTTTCAATCCACTGCAAGAATAACTTTACCAGGACAATACTCAAGAATAGATAGATCCATGACATGAGTTTCAGTCTGACCCTTGACTGGACCAATTACTAACCATGTGGACTACATACTTCCACCTTTTGAAAGATCTGTACTCACTGAATCTCAGGACACCCTGTTGTTTGTTATTAGATGAAGAGCTCTGAATATTTGTAATAATATGTGCTGTGTTGCTTTGCATTGTATATTTTTTTCTTCTAAAATAAAATAAATTATTTATTAAAAGTTATACTGGATGAAGAGCATTTAAGAGTTCACCTGCTCTAGATGCTTATTCTTAATGTGAAATCTCAGTCCTGAAATTCTGATACTGTGTCTGCTTCTGAACAAACCAATTTTCATCTCATAATCAAGTAGGACGGCAATAATGAATAAGAACAGATGAACTCTTAAAAAAATTTTTTTTAAGTCCTCATTTCATGCAGAAGTCCCTAGCAAGTGGATTCCTCTCTCTTTAGTGTCTTCTGAAGGTCTTTGAGGTTGTTCTTCTTTCCCCTCATTCAAACTGACAACTAACTAACTCCATGAGTAGTCTCAGTCTGCACAGGCAATTGTAGAGTTACACCACGTGAAGAAGAGTGGTGAAATCTGGCCTGGATGGGAGATGAAATATGAAATATCTGTGGCAGGTTGACGGCTGCTGGCCATGGAGATCTTTCAGGAACCTGGCCCTTTTGCTTGCATGACTAACCGGCTGGTGAGGGGGGTTGTATTTTATGTGGCAATCCAGTCCTAGTCTGCACTGTGTTTGACAAACTTGTCCATGGTGTATAAGTAGTTCTGTTTGTAAATAAAATGTTTTAAATATATTTCTTACAACGTGGAGACCATGAATTCAACCCTTGCAAATGGAGGATATTCAGGGAAGGGGGTACTGTGTTGTCCCTGGCACGTTGCAGCTGGGCTTTCATGCAAGGCGGTGGTAAGAGAGCAGCATGCATGCAACTGTGTACAGGCTGTATGGGATAAGCTGACACCAATTCTCCCGTTTATCTTTGTGGCTTTTTGGTCAGCTTAGGTCAGCCTCTTAGTCCTGTGTTGGCAAGCGATTCAAATTCCTGCCCGTTTCTGTTTTCAGCCCTTTGTGAATGAGAGAGAAATGAAAAGGGGAAACTTCTGCCTGAAACAAGAATAGAAGTTCTCTCATTGCTGGGGATGTCAAGTACTTGTGGAGCAGGGAGACCCCACAGCACACGGGTACACGTGTATCTGCGGCCTTGGGGAGCGCCTGTGCCACTGCCGCAGCAGCGCACACAAAACCCATCGCCAGGGGTCGGGTCACTTGCACAGCAAGGTGCAGCCTGGATCCTGATCTTAGTTGTGCCTTTTCCTGCAGAGAATTGCACATTTCTATTGCAAAGCCCCAGCGGATACCCACACACATCTCCACGGCAGAGCTGAGCCCAGTGAAATTACCAGTTGGTTGCGATAACGTGAGCCAGGCAGCTCTGGACTGGAGCTTGAGAACAGTTGTTTTGCAGCCCTTTGGCATAGCAGTTAATTTTTTTTTGTCCCAAAACCAGCTGGTTTGCACAACTGATTTTGTTTAAAATCGGCTTCTGCCTTATGTCACTTTAAGTCCTTCAGTGCTGGATGCACAGGAGCATGCAACGAGCTGTAAGTCACGCTTGAAAAATGGGAATTAAAGCTCCTGTGTTCTCTAGGCAGTTTTTGGAAAGTTTTGATGCTGGCTTTGCAATGCGTGAGGTGGCTTTTGAATAAAGCTGCTGATTTTATACTAGGTGAGCATTGGGCTCAGGAGCTGTTGTCTTCTGGTCTGTCTTTGCAGAGGTGAAAGACCCCATGGTAGATTTTTTCCCCTCTCTGAGGAGTCCCTGCACTTTTGGCCGGTGGCTCCACATTTGAGAGGATTTGATATTAAAAAAAAATAGACTGGATCCCCTGGTGAGCAGCTAATGGATTGAAACCAGAAACTCTTTTTTCTTCTTTCTCTCTTGTAAATCAATGAGGCGCTCCTCAAGGATATTGAGTTAAGGGCATACTATAAGGGGAAAAAAAAAAGGCTGTGTAGTGAGTAGGGTTTTTTTGTTGTTGTTAGACTATGGAGCTGCATGTGAAACGCTAAGACGTACATGCCTTTCTTATAGTTTCGGGCTATTTTTTTCTGCATAACATGCAAGAGTATCAGAAATGATACATCTGTGAAATACGTGGTACTGGATTTTCAAAAGAGCTCAGCTTGCACTTTAGATACCTGGAAAAAAAAAAAAAAGCTGAATTTTCAAAAAGTGCCAGCAGAGCCGCACTCAGCAGGGGAAAGATGGATGTTGGCTCTTTTAAAAATCAGGTCCTATACAGGGTTGTTTTGGGGTTTTTTTTTTGATCTTTGGTGTGAACTTCCAACTGTGCTGTGTACATAAAATAAATTGCATGTAACAATAGCATTACTACATTTTCCGTCATTATTAAGATGGCTTGCTGAACTAGTTTCACAATTCAGTGGAGGCAGAAATGAAAGCATGTCCCCCTGAGAAGGTAGACACCTTCTGCAGATGCTGCAGTCTTTTCTCTGCCAGGTAAGGAGCGTTGCTGATGTGTCTTATTGACCTCCCTTGCTCCATGCCCCTTACGGTGTGATTTCCCCTATGCATCAGCAAGATGCATCTCTGAAAAAGGGTACGATAATGAAATGAAGTGTTTAGCCTGGAGCAGAAAATCTGGTATTTTCCAAATCAAAACGCTGAAAGCATGACAGTCCTTGGAGAACAACAGATCTAGCTTTTGGCTTTAACCAGCTTATGTGTTAACGTATCAACCTTCACTCAGGATTGCTTTTTATTCAAAGCAATGTTCATTTATGTATTTTTTGGACATGGATGGTTGGTTGTATTCGCACAGGAGTCTCTGTCCAGAACGTGAAGCTGCTGAGAGAGGTACGCCTCCATGGGTAGCTCACACAATGTTATGTGAAAGTGTTTTGGTGGTCATTGCATGTGTTCATCTGCGGTCCAGCATGCAGCTGTGCTGTGAGCTGTAGGCCAGGTTTGCAATGTGTCTCACGTGATGGTTGGGCTCCCAGGTGTCACTGGTGATCCCCAGCCCTTGTGCACACCAGCCCCACCAGTGTGGTTTCCAAAAAGCACCTACATGGTCGAGGAGGTCACATCCCACTGGCTTTCGGTGGAGAGCTTTCTCGTAAGAGGCTTGCACACAGGGTGTCAGCAGCTCTGGGATTCACATGTGTATTGGCAAGACTGTAAAGCCCTACTTTGAAAACATCCTTTATTCAGTCCAGCCTGGAGGTAGAAAGCGGGGAGCTGATATTTCTCTAGCAGAAGTCTTCAGACAAAACACCATGTCTCCTCTAAGTTCAAACTGCTTCTCTAATAGTCTCTGTGTCTTTTGTTGGAAACCTGGATGCACCTGTCTTGATGTTTCTTACGAGCTTTTATTCCTCCAATTCCTTTGTTAACACTTCTCCCCCTAGAAAGAAATCCCTACAGTTCTACCCTGCCGTAACCCATGGCCTTACCCGGCTTTAGATGTGTCATTGAATCTGATCACCCAAGGTCCTGCTGTAGTATCTCCAGGGCATGACTTGTCCTACTCCTGTGGGATGGGATAAATTGTCCCCTGGAGGTGCCTCTTTCATGCCATCAGCGTGAACCTTGGTGATTACCTTCATATATACACCTAAATTTTAGAGGGCTGAGCTGCTGAGAAAACAGTGTGTCCTCCTAATCCAGCATTTCACATAAGCTATTTTATTTTACAGCTTTCCTGTAATGGCAGCCCAGTAGACAGACTCAACAGAAATGTCTTTGGCTTGTAAAATTCACCCCCCAAAAAAATCAAACGTGTTTACAGGAAGATTTGCAAAGGCCCAGAGGGGAGCTGCATTGCCAATTCCTGTTGACTTTAGGGGGTCATCGGGGTGGTGGCCACGCTCAAAGCTTTTGCTGTTCAGCTCTCTGTAGGAGCTGGCTCTAGGATTGCGGTTTGTGTATCTTTGGCTTTGCCTAGTCCGAAGAGGAAGGAAGCGTGGATTGACCTCAGTCTTCACTGCTCATATCCGAGATCAAATACCAGCCTCTCCCAGGAGAAGAGGAAACTGCAACGCAGGCTTTCTTACATGGCTTTTCTCATGGAAATAAGACTTTTCACATCTAGCAGAGTCCTTGGCCAAAGGTGATGCTGACACTTTGCTGTCTGGCTTTTCTCCTTGGCCAGCAAGGTGGTCTCAGACAAATCACATCACCTCTCTGAAATGCTGTCAGCCATTAAAAAAATTTTTTTAAAAAAGGGAAAAATTAAACTTGCCAACTAAACTTGGCTTCGGGAGCCGCCAATGGTAAGAGCTAGGCGCTGGCAGCAGCATCAGCGCGTGCGGTGCGTGGTGTGCGCGGCAGTATGTGCCTGAGCGGTCCCTGGAACCAACGTCTGCTTTCTCCCACAGGGATTTGAGGCGGCTGGGAGTGACACTTGTTGGTCACCAGAAGAAGATAATGAACAGCCTTCAAGAGATGAAGGTCCAGTTGGTGAATGGGATGGTGCCGTTGTAACTCGGTTTTAAAGTCGCTTCCTCAAGTGGGTCGGTCCTGCACTTTGTACACTAGCCCTGAGATTTATTTTGACTAAAAAAAAAAAAAAAAAAGAAAAGATAAAAAGGGAAATTCGGTGGTTTCTATGACTGAAGGACGTTGGCCACTGCCGCAACGTTTCTAAAGCAGTGTTTGACTAAAGTTTTCCTTTTCTTCCTATTTGTGTCCTCATTTTCATGAAGTAAATGTAAGATGCATGGAACATGGAAACGAATCTGCTGTACGTGAGGTTAACCCATCTCTTAAGCTTCAGCAACGACAACACGCCTTCCCACCACACGTTGTCTGTACATGGGATATATATATATAGAGCACCTTTATATACTGAATTACAGCAGCACCTGGTAATACTTCCAAGGATTGACTTGAGCAGAGGAGTTTTGTAGCCATTCGTGGGCTCCCAAAAGCTGCGGTTTCCTGAAGTTTAACTTCGAGTCTTACTTG